ATATATATATATATATATATATATATATATATATATATATATATATATATTTATATTTATATTCCATAACTCTCATGGTACGATAAGTTTACGTACAGTTATTACTGCATTTAGGATTCGAGGAAACAACTGTAAAATATCTACATAAAAATGATGTGTCTTTTCTTAATCGTGTGACTGTATTCGTTTATTAGGAATCTTTGAAATCGCGAGCAGTGTTAACAAGTATCACTGCATTGCTAATGTGAATCTGTACTCATATTGAAGAACGACGTGATTCGGTATAAAATGCTATGTATTCTTATATGGAAAAAAGGATATTAAAGTTATCCTTACAAAACGAGACATTAGATGTGAAAAAATATTTGTATATAAATATACTTTTTCTCCAATTATGTTAAATCGTAATATTTATATATACATATATACATATATATATATATATATATATATATATATATATATATGTATATGTATATATAATATCACAGATATCTATGTAGTTTTCTATTTTCATACGTAACATATATGTGAAATCACATAGAGATGGTAGCAGGATGCTTTTGGATAAGACATTTGATGTTATTTAAAACATGTATTGACGTTGAGAATTTATATATATATACACACATATATTTTATGTACCGAAATAAATTTTTATTACATTATTTCATCATATGCTTGTATTCTTCTCATAAATCGTTGTTCGTTTTTTCAGTATTATCATGTTGAACACACACAGCGCAAGTTATTTATAAGAATATTTTTATAAACCAGGATATTTCTAAAACCTAATAGGAAATTTCTAGAACTTCTTGACGTTATATAGCAATGGAAATGGAATATGTGCAAAGAAACTAAGGCGCGATGTCAATGGAAGAAATATTTCAATATTTGCTTGAAATACAATACTCTAAATTATAATCTAAGAGAGTTATATACTTTAATCCGTAAGTACGCTATCCCTAAAGCATTTGTATAAAAGCCACTTAGAAAATTATAAGTAACGGTATATTGGAAATACTTATTTCACCGCTGGATACGAGACACAATTTTAAACAGATTACATTTATAAACGATGTTATATATATGACATGTTTGCAATTTACAGGATTTTTCATGTTCTTTCATTTTTCACTACTCTTAAGCTTGATCTACAATGTGTTATTTGCCTCTTGTTTCTTTTTCATTATTTCTTTCTGACTCACATCTTAAGCCTTTAACTAAAAAAAGACAGAGAACAAGAAACAGGAAGCAAAAACCACATTGCAGATTAGGCTTTAATCACAATTAGAAAAAATCAATTTTCATGATATCTGTGATATCGTCGCGACAATACGCAGCTATCATCTATGCTATAATATTTAGGGTACTAAAAAATTAATATGCACACATATATATAGTATATATATACATATATAGTATATATATGTATGTGTGAGTGTATTAATATATATATGTATTAGTATATATACTAAATTAGTATATATATACACATACATATATATGAGATGCATGATAAATATCTGCTTCCCTAAGTAGGTACTTCAGTTTCAGAAATTATCATAATCGTATTGTCAGTATACCAGACGCATGTAGCGAAAGGATGGTGTTCAGAAGCTAAATTTATCATAATATTTAACACAATTTCTCAACTCGAATGTCGTACTTAATATATTTTCGAAGTATTTTTATAAATAAGTTACATACCTAAGCTTAAGTGGAAATTGCGATCAGAGAGCATCGCGTTAGAATACAGCCTAGAAAATAGTCAAAATAGGAAAAGCTATTACTATTACAGATAAAATAACGGTACTTTGAGACATTATTCTCGCTGTCTCGTTATATAGTATCATTAGTTATATAGTAAGAATCATCTTTAGCGCGAGGAAACAGATGTCTATCCGGTAATATAATCCGAATACCTAGATCTATGGAGATCAGCGTTACGTTATGAGATTCGTCTTTTCCGACGGTATTTCGGTGTTGCTGGTGACAATAAAAGCCTTGGATGATCTATTGTCCAACGAGCTGTTCTCGCTGGCCGATCGGCTAGGTATTATTTCGAACTCGTTCGAATTGATCTCAGACTCCACGTCGAGAAACGCCGACTCATCTGTGTCTCCGTGTTGACTCGTTCTGTCTTCGGAACAACGACGAATCTCATCTACGTTGTTGTTACTAATTTGCTCGACGCGCACTAATCGATCCCTAACGTCGTCGTCGTCCTCATCGTTCTTCGCTACGGACTCTGTCGTTTCTTTTTGACTGCTCATCCGTCTGTTTATCACGTTCAGTTCCACATCCACTTGCGCACTCGCCCTGCCGGTGGAATGCCTCGCGGCGGGACTGCCGGAGTTGTTCAAAGCTGTTTTTGCAACGTTGTCTCGCAATTTCGCCGAGATGTTCGATCCGTCGCTCTTCTCACAGTTTCCGTTTGCGGTTTCCAACCCGTCGTTCCGAAGGTCCGCCGGTTCTTGTATACGCGTATCCGCGTCGACGTGTTCTTTTCCCTTTTTGGTGGTGGTAGCGGCGAGCTCGGCCTCTTTCATCGCCGAGTGGATGACCGGCTCAGCCCATAATCCTGGGTTGAAGGCTGGTCCCGTTCCGCCGAGCTCCGCCGGCAGGATGTCCGTGGGCAGGTGCTCGTGGAGCGTGCTGAGATTGTTGCCGTGCAGGTAAATCTACAAAACGATCCACGATAACGCTCTTTCGCGCCGCTTATCTAGCATGCCACGGCAACGATGATAATTTATACGCCGCGTACGTTCGTCGAGATATCGATTTATAGTCTCATTTTATTATCATACTGTTTGTATTTCTCAGGTTTCAAAGTTAAGACAGTACATCGTTTACATGATGGATATCTCACCTTGTTTCGTGTTTTTTCATCGAGAAATGGCTTCACCAGAGCCAAAGTGGCCTGTACGTATAACGGCGCTGAAAGGAAGTGTATCGCTTTGAATCGAGCAGGAAATCGCCCACGTAGAGCATTTATTAGGTTTCGCACGGCCGCTGCGCCCAGTGCACCACCTTGCCGTAACGAGAATCCGCTCCAGTCCACCACAGCGACGAAACCGGATTGCTGAAAAAAAAAAAAGAATCCAAGTTGTCTGTTAGACGTCCGGGCGGCGTGTAATAGTCCTGGCTTGAGAGTAGACGCAGTGTCTAGAACCGAATTGAGTGAAAAATATAGCGTTCAAGCTGCCCATAATATATTTGAATCAAACTATCTTAGGTGTATTACTCTGTCGCTTTTACTTTTGCGAAATTTGAGAAATTATTTTCCATATTAGAAGATATGCTAAATTACGATATCTCCAACTATATCCAAGTATATCCATGACGAATGTCATTGATTTCTAGTTGCCACAACCAGATCATCCGCAACCGCATTGATGTAGTTGATATACCGAAGTAACTAAGTCATATCAACTATATACATTATCATCATAACTAGGGTAATGCAACTATGCTGCTCACGTATTTCTGCTCACATATTTCATATAGTTAAATGCATTATATCCATTTTTCTGTACACATTTCGCACTGTTTGACGCTTGGCGATACGTCAAGAAAACGCTCGTAATTGTACTACGTAAGTGACATTAAAAGCGACAAAAATAACAAATTGATAACGGTTATTTTTGTAAACGATCGGTTCGAGCGGTTATTAGATAAATGCTATACCTGGTTACGGGGATCCTGAATAAGTGTTTCCAGAACTAAGAAGATAGCTCGTTGAACGGATAATGCGGGTACGGCTATGGGATCCCATTGCGAGGCTAAAATAACTAGCACGCATCTGCCCTTCCTGCATTCATTCGTAATACAAAATGAAAATGGATAGGTGCGTAAAATCATAAAATAAAATTTCCACAACAGCTATTATAAATATAAGCGTCTGTTACTCACGCGGGGTCTATCAAATAATAATTGAAAAATTAATGAAATTGGTTTATTTTGCGAGACGTGCGATTACGCGAAAAGAAATATTGCCAATCTCAATCTCGCGTGCGGCTTTGTTTTTCGCCGCATCATACGTGGCGATAACGGGCGGAAAGGATAAGAATAAATACAACGTCACGGCTCTTTAACGTTAATCCATAGACACTTCCTCTCTCGTTGTGGGAGGATAATTAATTAATCCATACCTGTCGCGCGCGGGCAGAACACCCGGAATGCCCGCGCGAAGTGCGCGCTGCAAGGCCGGATCACGAGCGGTGAGATTGCCGAAGATGTCTTGGCGGTGTGTGATTTGGAATTGATAAGCGACTATGAGATCGGCCGCCTGCTCGGTGCGGTACTTCCGGGCCAGTAGGAAACGCGTGATATATTCGTCCGTGCAGTGCTTCAAGTCTAGGAACAAAACAACAGCAGGGCGGGGGCGCCCGGTCATTGTAATGCCGTCCGCGAGAACTATCGGACAGGAAGCGATTCAAACACGGATATTCCGGGAAGGCAGCACATGCATGGAACATTTTAATATTCTTCCGCAGGTCTCTGGTTATTAATAGTAATCTTTTTTGCCCAAGCTTGCCCTCGCTTTTACGATCAAGTGAAGAAGCGTTAATTTACTATGCAAGTATTCGGAAATTTTTCGTGGATATTTTTAGTGTTCCTCTTACGACTAATCTCTCTTATAACGCTGATTGTTGTTTTTTCTTTTCTTTTGCCTTCCGACGTTTCTTTTATGTTTCATTAGAGTTATTGCGCGCTCTTTATTGAAATTAAATCACTTTATTGAAATTTTTGAGCGAGAAGAAGACAATTATGCTTCATCGCAGATGCGTTTAAACGTTAAATCGCGGTATAGACGCTCCAGATATCGTTCGCAGCTTTACGGCTGTCCCCAGCCGCCCGATAAATTGACTTTAGTTACATACTTTACGTATGTACACACACGTCTATCTTACCCACATTCGGCATTTCTTGAAGTATGGCTCTGACAGTTTTAATGGCCAGTTTCTTGTCACGTTTATCGAATCTGGCCTGCTCGTCATAAATACTGCGCGCCAGGGCGGTGCTACCATGACCTCGCGTGGGGTCCCACATGTACTCGCAATACTCGGCCATTTCTTTCTTTCTTCAGCTCCGCTGCACGCAGGTGTGCGTCGACGATCTGAAAATATGTGTATACGAGTCGGTGAAACGGTAATCGTGCGATACGAAGAACGACGTTGAACAATCGCGCGTGCGAGTGACACGTAAGCCCAAAACGCGATGCTCCGCGTTGTACAATTAATTGCGTTGAAGCAGCGCACTGCTGTAAAGTGTGTGACATTCGATAGGCGATTTGCAAAATAATCAAGAGTGCTGCTCCCAACAAAAATAGAAAGACGCGCGTCATAGTGATTTATCGTTTCACGCGAAAAAAGCGAGTAATAAATCATCGTTCGGGTTAATAAGTCATCGTAAGACGCGCTGTGATCGACTGGAATAATCGAGTCGTTCGCATATGACTCTCGTGCGGATCCAAAGAGATGTTCAGCGCATTGCCCTAAGAATGATTCATAAGTAACCGTCCTTGTGTGCTGACGACGACGAGGCGCGTCATGTGAGAGTTCTTTCGACCGGTTCGGCCAATTATTTCGCGAAAGTTACATACGACCTTGCAGCGAGCAAGCGATCGATTTGCGATCTCACGCTTTCCGAACATGTAAGTCATCGGCACAACTGATTATTTTAAGAAGCTGAATCGTGTCGTCGAGTATAATAATTGAGAACGTCGCGAACTCGTGTAGGTCGATTTCTCCTAATGTAATGCAGAATTTCTCGCGAGAGTGTCAGCACGCCGCAAACATGCATTATCTCCTGATCGTTCCATGTGTCCAATTGTGTCACGTTTATTTTTGTCCTAACAAAGTTTATGTGAAGCAGATAGTCGTTACGTCAACGGGCGAGTATAATCGACAGGCACCGACGCGTGAATTAGAAGTGGCAAGAAGTCGGGTCTAAAATCGAAGAACACAAAAACTGTACGTAAGATTCGATTTCCAAGGCGGACATATAAAGAGCGCGTTACACCATACTTACGATGCACGCGGATGGCGCCTATGAAGATCTCTCAGAATCTTTTAAGAACACTCCCGATCACGGGAAGCTGCGAACACGGGGAAGAGGAGGAAATCGACCGATGCACCTGCGCGTCTCAACGAACGCAACGCACGCAATAAAGTCACCTGGACTGGACGAGTCGTACACGCTACGACCCGCTCGAAAGTGTCAGAGTGTTGGGAAACACAAGAGGTCACAAGAGGAGAGCAGCGGAATGAGGAGCGCCGCCAGGTATACCGGGATTACAGCATAAGAGTAAAAAGAAACGAAAGAGTTCGCGAGAGCGAACTCTGGCCGAACGAGAGAGAGAGGGAGAGACAGTGAAAGAGAGCGGAGAGGAGAGGGCGAAGCCGGTTACCGGACTCGGCTGACTCACCGCTTCGTATTACCTTTGCGCCCCCTCTATTGTGGTCCTGCGTGTCCGAAAAGCGAGCGTATATGTGTTCGATTTCCAACGACCGAACGTTTCAACTTTCGATGAATTTATCCTCTCGTGCGGTCACTCTACGACTCTACGTGTAGTCTGTGTCACTTGAAAGCAAACCGTCTTATTCTTTTCCTGACGAAATATCGCTGGGAGTGGCTCGTGGTAAGAGAGATTAGGAAGCGGACGTTTTCGTTCCAGTGGGCTGGACGTTGCTCTGGTAATTCTGCGCTGAATGTGTATGTACATACAGTGGGTTACAAAACGGCTTAGACACAACGAAGTTGGAAGCTCACCGAACTGTCAAAATTGAGAATCATCATCGACGGACTTGCGCGATAATAATATAATTAAGAATAATAAATAATAATAATGCAATTCCGTCAATAATGACTCTCAATTTTAACAGTTTGACAAGCTTCATTGTGTCAAAAAATCATTTTGCAATCGTTACTGTAGTGTCTGTTAGACGCACTTTTGAGACAAATCGACGTTACAATCCAAGCGACGTTGGACGGTGGTTGAGCGATTTGATGTCGATAATAATCTGAAAAATTATGCGAGCAACAATGTGAATAATAATAGACACGGTGAGGACTTTTCAGCTTCGAAAGTGTAATACGTAACCGCGCGAACGTAGATTAGTCCCGGTGGAAAACTTTGACGCGTAATATTCTTCACGCGATAATAAAGAGCTAACTAATTAGCGCCGGCATCTAATCGACCTGCGGACGCGCAGCAAATTGCCAGAGCTTCGTCATCCGGTTTCCTCGTTCCCCTGAACAATGACAACGCGCGCGGCAGCATCGCGCGTTCCTGCAGACGCAGAACTTTTGTGCAGTTCTTTCCGCGCGATGCCCGCATTCTGTTGCGCACATCATCACGAGCGAAGCAATGCGGGCAAAAAGCGACCGCGAAATGAACGACGATAAAGAGCCGCGTAAGGCGGATCCATAACCGCTTGATTAATATTGTGCTATCTGTTATTTTTTTTTCTGCATCGCGCGTTTCTTGACCTTACGTATTTTGCAAGTAATTAAACGGTCATGTCATTTATATTCCTTATTTACTCGCGTAATTTAAGAAGAATAAAAGCGTATTAGAAAAAAAAAAAATAAAACGTATTAACAGCATCCGATGTACACTAAGAAAAAAATGTTTGGCATTTGTAACTATAATCACATAGAGGAATAATCACTTGAAATTATGGTCAAGAAAAAGATCTTTTTTATTAAATTTTATTGTAATGTTAGTAACATTAATTACTTTATGTGCATATTACTATTACCATTCTTATGTTGGAACAACCAAACGATATGGTTGAGATAAAAAATAATTATAATTTCAGTCAGATCAGCTATTTTCTCTTTCAGTGTAGTTGCTCCCACTTTGCTTTAAAATAGCCAAAGCAAGACCGTGAATTCTAATCAAGAAATATGCACGACGTTCTTTACCGAGCAATAATCTGCAACGCGAAGATATGACACGTGCATGTGACTCTGAGAAGTTAATTATACTATTGTAACAAACACAAACTCATGTCTCTGCGAAAATAGAACTCTGTCATTGGTATCTATTGCGGACACGCGATACGTACACAACTATGATTCAATCATATGTAAATCCGCGCATGTCACTAATCGCAAATTTTTCCCCTTAATATCGTGATCTGCCTTGTTATTAAAAGCTCATCCAAGCTAGATTAGCGTGTAAGTCGTTCGCGTGTAATCACTTTATGTGAGAACCAAGAATGCACAAAAAAATAAACGACCACTTATTCTTATCGACCAATTATTCTTATTGTTCAATTTGGCAATCCGTAAATTGCAATGTTAAATAACGTTTTTTATAACTAAACATTTACAAAAATGACTGTACGATATTTCAATACTAGTTTTCACCGATACATACACGCATATACATAAAACATTTTTCTCCTACTCGTGCGAGGGTTCCGCTTTGTTTGAGACGTACTTTCGTACATGCCGTTTGCGCGACGCGTGATATCCTCGCGATACTGTACGTAACTCGTCCGAGGAAGACGTTGCGCAACGGTAACGGTAGAAACGCGCGGTATGGCAGCAATAGAAATTACCAGTTTCCTCGTGCAATATTCGTGCAGTGAGAGTCTGATACTCGAGCACAAAAGAACCTGATAATTAGCGCAGCCCGACAATCGCACCTTGTAAACACAAGTTTTAGCTACAAAATTTTATACCAGAATAAATATGATAATAGAAATTATAACAACAGAATCAGAGTAAAAAAACGATCATTTTTTTCTTTTTTAGGAACAAGGAATGTTCAAATGAAAATAAGATATGTCAACTTTAAAACTTATTTGCACACAAATAATATTCCTTCCAGTAGCGTAAATTTCTATTCTAAAAAGGATGAAATGCACGTAAACATTTATGCTTCACCTACTACAAATACTGTTGTACGAGGAAAATGCTGGAAGCATTTCTTCTCTCGTGCTTTTTCGACAAGCTAATCGTTACTTGAAAACAGTAAAAACGAAGGTGACAACGGCTTTTAGCGTTAACATATCGCGTCTCTTTGCTACGCGCGGACCAGTTTATCATACCGCAGGAATTACAAATAGTCCGCGGCCTTCGTTAAGTTAGCAACGATAAAACGGCGATATTACTCGCGTAACCAGCGATAGAAGCCGATGACGGGCAACCGATCGATTTCCGTGTCAGTTTACATTGCGTCTAGTCACGGCTTCGCGGACAGAGTCGCGTGTTCTCTTTATGAATTTCGCATATCTCATTATAGGTGCATTCGTTAATTCAAAATCAAATCTATGAAATATATATATATATATATATATATATATATATATATATATATATATATATATATAATAAATCTAAAAAATTGCGTTGGTGACATTCCGTCTAGATGAGTGAAAAAAGCGAATAATGGCCGCCGAGCACCAGAAATACGCCAGAATTGTCATGTTCGGTATTGCTGCACGTTTTTACTGCGTACCGTTTTTACAAGGACTCATGACTGAGCAGAATTTTCTTTCATTTACTCATCGTCTGAGTAAGTGTTTGCGGCAATTATTAGAATCGCAAAAATGATAAGAGGTAACTCGTAAATGTGACATAAAAGGTGATAGAATGGAACAAGTACCACAGATTCACCAGACAATTAAGAGTTGTCCTTACTCCTCGTCACGTCGCAGCTGGCAGGTCTCTCGTGCACGAAAGGAAGCAAACAAAGGACAACAAGAAGCTCACAATCGCAGGACGATCTGATCATTGGCTGTTGATCGACATCGCAGTTGCATTCGCGGATTCTGCGAACGACCGATCTCAATCGTTGATTTCGCGCAGCACGTCGAAGAAACGACGCGCGAAACGTCCGGCGCGAAACTGACGATTCGAAATGGCGAACACTGTAAGTTCGTGCCGAGAACGTGACACCGTCGGTTCGACCGCTGTGGGTAGAGAGGCGCCGCTCGATGAATAACGATGGAATAACCGTTCCTCAGGGCCGTGACTACGACGAGGCCAAGCAGGTAAAAGTGATTGTCTGAGAAATTAGTGGATCGATAAAACAATATTTTCATGTTTGAGTATTTCTTATCGTTATTACTGCATATTCACGTTTACTAGAGGACAATGTGCCTGCTCAACTTACGTTTCACGTACATTGAGTGTAAATAATTGAGCAGTAAATGTTCGTTAAATTGACCTTCCGTGCCGTTTTGTGTGTCTCCAGATAACACCATGCTCGTGTCTTTGGTCGTGTGCCGCGTTAAGTAAACCAGGACTTGATGAGAGGTTATAAAATTCTATTTCGATCGTACGTAGAACACGCAACAATATACTTGAGTTCTGAAAAATAAATTCGACCCGATAGAACTTGCCACACAGTTGGAGCAAACTAAATAACACGCTTATACCTGTCCTGCCGCGAGTACCTCAGATATCTCAATGTCTTACGAGATCTGCAAAACAGGATAAACATTTGTGAAATGGTCAAAATTGTAACAGCAAAGCTACCGTTAGAAATAAACCAACAATCTACTCACTTGGTAACATAGATATTTCTCTACCCCACTGTCGATAATATGAAATTCTGCACCTAGACTTTCTACATTACCGACTCCAGAATCCATCCGATGTCGCCATCTGTAAAAAGTATCTCGAGTTCTCGTCACCCTAACCTACTTTGTTGTCCTACTTAATGACTTAATGCCATTTGAACTGATCTGATAAACGTCGCAATCAACATTGTTGGATCTCATGTTGTATAATTACGACATCGACAACAAAGATATTGCGAAAGTAAGCAGTATTTTTAAGGTAACTTTCGGTCACATATTGAATAGGTTGAACAAATAATCATAAGAAGTAAACATCTGACCTAAATAGCACAGATCTCCACAAGTTCCTCCTAAAGACGTCCCCTCGAGATTTTGTGTTGTCTGAAGAAGATTTGGCATTGTGCTCGCATTTAGACTTTTATTTCAACTTTTATTTCTTGATAACGGATACAGAACTCATCGCTTTTTCCTATTTGTATTATGGCATGTAGGTATTATAAAAAAAAATATATCGTATATAATAAGCAATTCGATATTGTGTATGTTGTCTCTTTTTATCTCCCTATTTTCAATCTTTGTCTCTCTCTCGCCCTCTCTCTCTCTCTCTGTTTGATAAAACTACCAATTAACATGTATTATAAGAAATATAACACCGAATTTATTTTCTTTATATTTACTGCAAGAATATTTCGTAAGTAGAAACTACTATTGGTCTACACGGTGCTGTGCCAATGAAAATCTAATGTAATTTAATTGCTTGTAGATTCTCGCCAAGAGAGTTTTATCTTTCAAATAGTCCATTTGTATTGATATATTGAGACGACAAGAGACATGACGATAAAACGCAACGGCGATCGTTACGTATAACGTGGTAGCGTACAAAAATTGAAAATTGAAAATTAAAATCCAACTTTAATTTACACGAGCACATGCTATTTGCTTCATAATATACGTGTAAATGCATATAAAATAGATTAGGATCTTTAAATTTAGTAAGTACTTTTGTGGGGGAAAATGAGTTAAATAACGCTTAGTTTTATATTTACGATTAATTAATACAAAATGGATTGTGACTAAGCTTGATAAGATGTATCGAATATGATATATGCGTGAAATAGTTAAGCGCTTTACATAATTTATGTTAATACAACATATGTTAATATAATAATTAGCATTAGTACTTAACATAGTACGTATTAAATTGCAAATTAGTTTTTACATGCCATATCAAATCCGCTTAAAACATTTCAAGTTCAAAAATCTTTGGAACACGCAAAAAGTATTTAAATATTTTTTTTTAATGTTTTGTATCAAAACTTACCTGTCGCTCTTAAGAAATTTTTAATTTTAAAGACAGTCGATTTTATTTCAATTTTTTAACCAGACTGCAAAAACGTACTATTATTTTTGCTTCACATCGGTATATTCGATTATAAATTATCATGCTATATTTATTCGCGTTGCATATATTTCAACGTATTATCGCTATGTTCTTATCTTTTATTTTTTACAGGAACGATATCATATACATCCGGGAGCGAAGATCTATCGTGCGCAATCTGTGTTGCTGACTTTTGACAATTATTGATATATTTTATCATCGTGTCTCTTGTGTCACTTCATTATATATGAAAGATAATATTTAACGAGAATCTACAGGCAGTTTTCCATTAGCACAGCACCGTATAGACCGTACTTGATGTTAATAGCTCGATACATGTACACTTAGTACATGTTTATGTTTGTTCAAATTCGATTTTTTGAAATCTTTCTTTGCGCGTCTTAAGGTCAACCATTTCCTACTCTCACACACGTTATGTAAATATTTTATCAAGATTTTCTTCCCAGATATCGTTCGCCCGATGTGCTCCAATCATTGCAAGTTAACGACTCGAATAAAGATGGTGTCATCCTTGTTATCCTTGATACATGTTCATAAGCGTCGCAACGGCGTTATGGTTAGTGCGGTCTGCCGCCGCTGTACATTCGTGGATTGTCGATCGAGGAACACGCATCGTCGTGCGTTGATAAGCGTGTAGCTATCGTGAAATATATATTACGACAAAGTTACAAATGTCGTGATCCGTGTCTGTTGAATATGTCGTTCATTTAATCGTAAGTAGACGTCTAGAATGCAAACGTCATTCTGCTGTGATAAGTGTTTTATGTATGCATAACAACGGTTCGCGCTTGAATTCTTAACGCCAGTACGCCAGATCGACTCGTTTCAATAGTCTGTGCGGATCCGACGACTTGTGCACTCGATTCACTTGGACGGTTAGCTCCATCGTTATCACGCCTACAGTCTACAGTGATTGACGACGAGGTAACACGAACTGAATATTACTTAGAAACAATTGGATTATCGTGTACGAAATGTTGGATATTTTTATATAACGTTGCTCAGGCAATCACGTGAAAAATGGAGTGTACTCTTTCTCTTTCGCAATCAATTCGACTCGGGCAATTTCCGATAAATATAGTTTATCGAAGCCGTTCAGACTATAGCTACAGTTTTTTTTCAACTACTATTTCGCATCGTAATAACTTTGCGTCGTTAAAAAGTCCAACGTTCCGGAAAAAGTCTCTGACGGATCTAATTTCAGAGACGTTGGGAAAGATGACTCCACTGACGTCCAAGTAATGGCAATCGAGAGCGCGAGGTTTTTGTCGTTTTTTAATCAGGAGAGGCGTTATTAAAAATAAAATTAGAACGAGAGATATTATGTCTTCTTATATACATGCTAATCGGCAGTTCAGTTCACCGCATGAATTGCTATTGTATATTGGAAAATCTATGCAGCGAATTGCTCGTCAGTATGTGTATCAAAAGGCATCAAGTCAAATATGTGTAATTCTAGTTTAATAGGCATTTACTTTGCGTCAAGGTCTCGTCATTTATATAACAACCGACATAATCACTCAGCGATTAGATCTTACACTGAGAAAAATTCCTCGGTTATCAAAAACTTGTTTACCGTTAGATTAAAAAACGAGAAGTTACTGAATCACATTTCTTATCATTTTTAAACATAAATTGAGTCTGAGATATAAATCACATTTATTCTTGCCTATTTATAGCTTATATTAATTATCTCTCTGTTACATAAATGTTGCTTAAAATAGTACATTCAAAATAACAAAATCATTCGTTTCCATTACGGAGATATGATATCCCATATCAACAAACTATTTTTTGCGAGTACTGGTATTTTGTTAAATCAGCGAAAGTTTTTCACTTAGTCTTTGCTCGTGATCAGTATGTTGTGGAAATATCAAGGTCTGCGAGCGGTAATTGCATCTCCGTCATTCTATAGTTGTGCGTGACAGTGAAAAGAGACTTATAACCGGTTTCTTTTACACCAGATACTCCTCCGACCGTTCAATCGAAGCTTTGGATGTGCATCGGTACGCACATCCCGATGTTACGAGATAAGAATTACACGTATTGTTGCTTTGTCATTGAAAATTACGAGAGAAATATCTTTGAAGTGAGAACTTGTGACGAGTCTCTTTAAAGTGTACTAGTCTTGTATATCGAGATAGCGATAAGTGTACTAGTCTTGTATATCGAGATAACGAGTCTTGTATATCGTGAAAGAGATAAAGTTTACTGAGAAAAATCACTCGGTTATCGGAACAAAAGTATAAACAGAACCTACTGTTTAATGATCATTGCGGAAACAAATCGAACAACTGCAAATCATTTCTCATAATTTGTTATTTTAACAAACATTATTGCCTGAGATGCAAATTACATTTGCTCTATTTAAGTTAGATTAGTTATATCTCCACTATAGAGAAACATTGCTTAGAGCAGCAAATTAACAAATCATTTGTTCGCACTATAAACTCATTCATTGTTATGCCATGTTAACAAAACATTTGTTGTGGGTATTTTGTTAAAGTAGCAAAACTTTTTCTCAGTGTAAATCCAAAGTGACACGCCGTAAAAGTTTGTCGATTCAACCCGTTGCATTTAATTAATCTCACTTCTTACTTATCAGTGTGACCATTGATAAGCCGTGCTAATGAATTTTTATCACACTTGACAGAATCGCAGGAAGATGGCAAACATTCTCAACACGCTGGTCCATTTGCTCAACATACTGGCTTACGGCTTCACATTATATTACGCCTCCTTCATATTGCGCATACCTTTTCTAGAGAACAAGTTCAAAGACTTTGATCCCGGACAATTTAAATACTTAACGATATGGAATGTGGTAAGTCATATAGTTCAATTTTTCAACTGACAAAACCAATAAATGCGACGTTCTTTTATTATATACGCGCGACCGATCGACCAACCGACCTTTTTCAGCAAAACTGTCGAAACTTATCAGATGCCTAAATTGGCCGGGCAGAGTTTTAAATGGAAATCTGGTCGGGAACATTTCAGAGAATGAGTTTTTTTTTTATCAATATTTTACAACTGCTAATATTTGCTTTTTTTACAATAACCGACTGAGTTATGCCCATGACATTGATGTGTATGTAACTCTGAGTCATGTAAAAAATCTTACGCAAGTCCAAATGAAAAAGTCATGCTGTAAAAAGATACGTAAAAAGATATTAAAAGAACATTAAACATAAAAAAAATTATTACAAAATTATATTTTTCATAAAACTAGTACATGTTCGTTAGTAGAGATCGCGTTATTAATATAAATTAATATAAATGTGATATTAGTATAATAATGTAATTATACAGAGTGCTCCAAATCCGCATTGTGAAAACGTAAGACGGATTGAAGTGAACATAAAAGTTGTCGTTTGTTGTATACTTTTATATTAGGTCAAACTGTGAACAAAAAAAAGTTCTCTACCATTTTACAGATGACCGCATAGAGTTTCAAATATTAATTAAAGAAGATTTGTGCATCGCGCACAATCATGTAACAATTTTCTTTCATTAATAACTAAAAATTTTCGTGATTATTTGCAAAATGATAAAGGACTTTTTTGTTTAATTTAACCTGATATACAAACATACGACAGCACACATCGCCACTAAAGCTTATCTATCATAGCATACGTAATCATTCACCACTCTTCTTTAATATCTCGAGATTTATTGCAAATATCGCAATACGGTATGGGACTTTTATGTTCACCATCATAATAATAACATAATTAATATATAAAAAATATGATTATTAATATATATATGAGTAGCTACATATCTGAAATGTGACTCATGACGCGTTTTTGTCGTCAATGTACTTGTTTAAATGCGCGTGCTGAAAGTATAGCAAAAGCGTAACTGTTTAACAGGGACTACTCGCTTCTCATAAATAGCAGCCTGAAGAAGGCTTATTTTACGCCCGCGCAAACCGGACATCTACTTGTAGCCCGTAAATAGGAATGGAAATAAGGGAAATCAATATTGTGAGCAATGGATATAACACAATGTTCTTTCTTTCAATCCTGCATTATCGTTTATGTTAATAAGTTTCTTCGTTAGATCTCTCTATCTCAATTTTTATCAAGTTTATATCGTTCTATTTAAAACACAAATGTGCCAACGAAAGCAAGATCTGACTATGAAAGACGATGGGCGTAGGGCGACGGAGATACCTAAATGCGTCACTGGCCCTCCCTACCTGAACGCGACCGCGTGAACCGGTGCCAACGCACGCATGCTGCAGTCTTTCTCCCTTTACCTCCCTCCGGCTTACTCCATAATCCGTCAGTAAGTCGTGAACTGCCGACACGAGCGCTTCAAGAAGTTTGCGTGCCACTTGGCGAAACGTCACAGGATCTCTCGTGTGTTCCGGCAAAGAAACACAAACACTGTGCACGTACACTTGCTTTAAGAACCATCGCGACGAAACGCGCGTTTCTGCACCAAGTAAGGGTAGATCGATCGACTTGTAGGTCGAGGAGACGGCCGTGGACCCAATTAAAAATAAGTCTCTTTCTGTCTCTCTCTCTCTCTCTCTTTCTTTCTCCTTTCTTGCTCTTTTTCTTTCTCTAGAGATGCCTCTCATGTCGATGGACGATAACGGTAGAATTCAACCTCCCCCTTCTTCACGCTCGCGAAATAGACAGCGTAAATGCCGTAATCTCTCAGTGAATTCAGTATCCGACCCGGTTTGGGACGTGCGAAAATGATGTCAATGTCTTAATTGGCGACTCGGTGCCGTAAGGCGCATTTTTCCGTGGCTAAGCCATCGGAGATTGAACCTCGTCGGGATCGCGCCCTTTTCGGCCACCGGTCAACGGCGGCGTCGCGTCAGCATCCACTGCCACCACCGCCGCCGCCGTCGCTACAACCTTCGTAAAGAAAGAGGTTAGGTATTTGCGACGCGTTGAGTCAAGTCATGTCCGAATTCGCCGTTCACTCGACGCCGATTCCGCGCTGCGTCCGTCCGGCGTGACGCCGCCGAGTCGCTACTTATCGAACAGCGGGTAGATCGCGTGGGCGAGGACCGCCGGGATTGTTCTCGCGACGTAACATGGGTCGAGTTTTTTAATTCATCGATGGATCTATCGATGAATTAAAAAACTCGCCTATGCACGTGAGGTAGACTCCGGCATCAGCGCGGGAATTCCTTTTCTCTGCAAAAAGCGCGTGAATCGGCTGAAAAAAATTTGCTCTCAGTAATGACCTTTTTGTTGTCAAAGACCGTGTCATATAAAAAATACCCAAGTTGTATTTTGTTCTTACTTCTTGCTGGATACTTTGTATAGTGATGACGACTATTGCAATTTCATCTGCATAATGTTATAGTGTGCGTTTATAGTTTTATCAGATACATAAGATTACTTCTCATATCGTACTGCCGCTTTAATAGCTCCCTCGTCGTAACTCGCAATTATTTTCAACATGCCCTTTTTAAGTGACACGCGACATGTCCTCTGTTGTTCTGACAGACAACGCCGCAAGTTGACAACTTCTGATCGACAGCACGTGTATTCAGTGGATTGGGAAACGGGGAGGGGAAAAAACAAATATCGGACGACGGCGTATCGCAAAGCAAATGTCATTATTGTGGACATAATTATGCTCCAGATTCGTGAACCGCTGTCTAAAAAAAGTCATTATCTACGCAAAGCGAGTTATGTAACTTAATAACTAGCAACGGATCACCTAATATTTCTTTGATCACTCCGCAGTCCATGTGAAAACTGTAAAAGGGAAATGCCCTATTAATTTCACGCTTCGACGGCACGGCTAAAAAGAATCTACAAATAGATGAGCCAGTAAAACCCCCGATGACCTAGTAAAAAAATATAAAAAGCAATATTAAGCGTAAATTAAATTTGTTGAGAGCTCTGTACGCATTATCGTTTTTTTCCCTTTTTTTTACTCGCACTAAAATTAACGCATTAAATAAAAGCTTCAAAAAAAGTCGTTCTCCAATTTAAACTCACTCTTTTTTTTCACATATAATTCAACGAATGATTTATCTGCGTTGTATTTTCGGTGTTATTTTTTCCGTTTCCTTTTTGTAGCAATGTATTGTCATTTAATTATTAATTATCGCAATTGATAATTACAAAGAGAGTCCGTAGGAAAGCGTCGACGAATTAAGGCCAATGCCGTGTCTCGCGTTATACTTTGCGCTTTTACATCGCACGATACAATTAGCGGCAGCGCTTAAGCGGAAGATAAAATAAAGATAACCCTTCTTGGTTTCCGCCCATTTATTAAATATTGTTTTAATATCCTTTCCAGTTCTTCCGTGACGTAATGTCTCGCTCTCGCTTCTTCGCGCAAAAGTAGACGCCATTTTTTCGCTCACCTTTTCGTCGCAAAAATGTGCACATGACAGGGAACGTTATTTCGCATTTTTCTGTAAAATTCGCGATTTGTTCGTTTGTTTGTTTAGATAAAATAATAACAGGCGCGCGACTTCTCGATGGGAATTCTGGGAAGAATTAAGATTTATTTTATACGCTCGCCGGACAGCATTTACTTAGTTACGTATAAATTATGTAACGCAGGTATATACTTACTTATATAACGTACATTGGGAAGTTGGGGGATTATCAACTTTCCATTTCTGCACTACGTTTTATATACATATACTATGGATATTTTAGAAATTCTATTTAAATAAGTTGTGACATAAGAAATCGTCCATCGACATTTCGATGCCGATGTCGCTTGCGAAATATTTCTTGATTTGATGAATTTAGGTTTGCGTGAACTCTTCGTTATGCTTGATTTTACGTTCTCGACATTGCATACGTGTATCGATCTTCTTGCTGCCACACACAGGAAAATATTTACTGTATTCAAGTAAATGTTGCTTATTTTAAGTATCTCGCATATTTTAACAAAAGCTCGGTTTGCTCACTACATGGAGTTGAACCAACTTTTTTTTAGAAAGCTTTGTAATATTTATATAAAGAAGATAAATGCTTCTTTTGAGTGCGTAATGGGCTTTTCTAAAATTCGTGATAAATATGTAAAAAACTATTATTAAGAAAACATTTCTTGTTGAAGATCCTTATTGAAGATAACAGTGGCCCAAAAAAATATCACTTTTTTTAGTTGTAGAACGATATTTTTCTGTGTACAAACATTTCGTGCAACTTATCGGCACGAAGGAGTTCCAACGTAAATCCGACCATCTCGACACCGAGTACAATTTCGACAAGTCATTCCCGACGTTTCATAAAAACAAACGAGTGATCAAGCACACTCGTTCGTGGCTACCGCAGATCCGACCGCGACACGTGTGTGCAGTCTCCGTAAAAAAAAAAAAAAAGGAAAAACAAAGAATAAATTGCGTTTCAGATTGTCTGTGAACAGCCGTGAGATGCAACAGGGCCTAGTGATCGGATTCCACGTGATTACTTTCCTGCAGTACGCTTTCGCAGTTTATTACGATTACATGTTCACGATAATGCCGCACAATGTCATGAAGGCGCACAGCGCCTTCGGTGGAAAGTTCAAGTTTCTGACGTTCTGGGACGCGGTTAGTATCGATAGACAAACTTGAAGCGCGCCGTTTGATTAATGAGATTGCCGTAGCTCTTTTGCGCGCGAGTCTGCCTTGTATAGACGCAAAATGACTATGTTGCGCATTAATAGTGTTCGGTACGGCTGCATTCATGCGGAGATTTCACGACGCGTGATTCATTGATCCTTTCGTTCTTTCGTGAGATAAAGCAGTCGTCTGCTGTGTAAGCGAGAAAGCGCATATTTCTCAAATATATAGAAACTCGATCGTTGAATGCAAAAGCACCGAACGCCGTTGATACATTCCTCTCGTATCGATTTCTTTGTCACTGGAATTAGTGGAGCCTGATTATCAATGGAACGAGACTCTCCGACCGACATTGACTTTTATTGCGATAAAATATTCTGCTGTTTTTCTTTTATCGCGACGAAATTTGACAGAATTTACATCAAGCTACGAGATAATGCAACGAGATCAGATCTCTCGATGTAGATCTCGATCGGGGAATTGGAAGATAAAGCCCGTGTCGTAATCTTGTGTTCAATCTTGGTTGTTGAGTTCTCGTCGTTCTCCAGATTGTACACGTTCGTCGATGAGCTTCGTGGGAACTACCCATAGTAAATGATGCATAGTTAAGAATTCCGAGCATTAGAAAGGTGTTACGTATAGCTTTTCTCCAGTCATAGCAGCGCGATCATTAGACAGACTGCTTCTATTTAATCCTTTTTAAGCGGTGTACAGCCGCCTTATATTTTCCTTTGTGTTTTTAGAAAAATTACAGTCTTTTATGAAGCGAAAAGAAACTCGACTGTTCTTCGAATAAAACGAGTCTGTGCGATCGTACATCTAGTAACCATGTAATGTATCCTTATTGCTCCGTTACGTAATAAGTGAAAACCGACAATCCCATATAGTATCTGGCGATCGCAAAAATCGCAAATGGTAGTGATATAATACCCTTCAAGCTAACAACGTAGAAAACGGGATACACTCATCAATAATGATTAATAGTGAAATCAGCAATTATGAGGAGAGGAGTTCCTCTTTCAATATCAATCCGGTTATTTTATGATGATTTTTACGAGTATCGCTCCCTCGCTTTTAACCCGAGATTGAATACAACTTGCCGCGTAGAAAATAGCAGTCTTTTTGTAATGAGTAGCAGTCTCTCTTTGAATCATCGAACTGGCTGAGACTCTCTCAGAATTTTTAAGCAAACTAATGCGCTACATGTTTCGGTGAATTGAGACAAGAAAAAAAGAACATTGGGTGAATTTAAATTATATGTATTTTCGACTGGCATTTTTATACCCTCGAGTATTCTTTTTCCAAAAAAAAACGAGATACACTCCTCTCGAAAAAAAATTGCTTTTTTCACTTCGCTTGGCTGGTTCCATCGAGTCAAAAGAGCCGTGGCTCTAAATTCGCCGAGATTGTCACTTATCGCTGAGCGATGACACGCTCTCGAGCATTTCACGCTTAAATTGCCGCTATCAAACCGCTCGTAAAGAGCAAAATTCAATTGTTCAAGCACCACTTTATATCATCCGCAAATGGAGGCACGTGTCACGCAAGACTGCTTGTGTGCAGCGTCAATCGATCGATAATTATGCTGAGACGCTCGTTAATTGAATTAATTTTTTCGTATATAACAAAACGAGAAGAACAAGCGCCGTGTCTGTGTTGGCATCGGAGTGTAAACTTGTCGGTGTTACGCGCGTCTCATATCTGTCCATTTCTCAACGAAACAAGTCAATCAAACGTTTTGTTACAATAATTAGTGTCCTTCGGGACTATTATGCAATTAGTAACATTTTTATTTTCACTGTCGAAAGACGCCAATTTCACTTACATGCTAATTAACACGATTGCTAATTGATATTGAGAGTGATACGATTAATTAGGTCGCTTCTTGTCGCGCCGGGTGTCACTCGACGTGACTGCACGCGTGCTGCACGGGCACGATCAACTGAAACAGACATGTAGAGTGAATTTTTGAATAGTAAAAAATTGTAAAAAATACATTGAAAAATTACACGGTATAATCAATTTCGGCAAATGAAGTGTTGTCGAGCTATACGAATATTAACTGAGCAATTTGCGCCCATATGCGTGTAAACACAAGTGCGTGACAGTAACAATAATGACGATAATTATCGTTTATTTATCGTGATAAGCAGTCTATATTCGCTGACTTGGTTTATAGTAACTGTTCCTCTATCTGTCCATTACAAGTCTTATTTTATATACTTAACTTAATTTTATGTATTTAACGACGATCTCGTGTTTCTAAAATTGTCTTATAAACGTCATTTGAACTTTCCTCTAGTCGTCTTCATAAACATCACTTGGACTTTAGTCTGATCGTTTTCATGAATGTCATTTGAATTTTCGTCTGGCCAGTTACTCAGCAGAAATTCGAGACATAATTGTTAACGTATGCGAAGCGATAACGCTTGAAAATGTTTAGGTTCTTCCGATAATGTTAATCACACCTCACTTAATTTTAAGCGATATTTATATACGACCTCTGGCTGCACATTGTGCAAGTCATTATGAAAAATTCATTAACTCATTAATTAGAATATGTCGAAATGCCAATTGTGTTGTAGATTCTACAAGCGGTGTTCTTCCTAATATGCGTCCTAAACGACTGCTTCGGAACAAACGCCGTGAATCCCAAGAAGCGACCTTTCGTACGAAAGTTGAAGGATTCCTTCCACGCGAGCCTCGGGTTTCCTATCGCCATGGTGAGTGCGATTGATTAATTTCTTTTCACATTTTTATCTTGCGCCGCAATGTTACAGCAGCTAGTTAATTAAGTCGTGTATTAAACCTATCAGCAACGGAACGTTTTAGTATATATTACAAGAGTATTACATAAGTTATCTTTAAAGTAAAATAAGGAAGGTCGCGTTGATTTCATCATTCAATAAGAATGATTTGATTCTGATGTATCTTTAAACGAAAAGTGTCTTTTTATCACCGTCTAGGTCTTCTTGTCTCTTTTTAATGAATATTTTTGATTAGCTATCGTGTGTCTTAATGTTTGCGTAAATTAATAATTTGCCGCATTCTATACTTGAAATAAAATCTTAAACGTAATCCCAATATACCGTCGCGTTACAGTTCGTCGGCATAATCTTCTGGATATTGATGTTCGTCGACCGTGAACTGGTATTACCGAAGGCAATAGACCCGTACTTTCCATGGTGGTTGAATCATCTGATGCACACGATGATCATGGTAACGACCGTATTGGAAATGATCGTCGCGCCGCGACAATATCCCAAGCGGTCCCGTGGCCTCACGATACTCGTGAGCTTTATGCTCATGTATTTAGTCTGGTAAGTGAATCGGGTATCCGGTCTTTCTGCAGGAACTACGAATAAAGGAATGTAATAACGCGTCGCAGACGAGTACGCCAATAGTAGTTTTCCAACGTGATATATCTAGAAAGAACGCACATAGAATGTGTGAGTGTCTCACCTAGCAATTTTACAACTATCGAGCCGTATTGAGGAAGAAAGTCGCGAGTAAAATCTCAAAGGCGGAAAGATCGCAATACTGTCCTATCCAATCGGTGTAATCTATATCGTTCGACGAATATTTCAGGATACACGTGATCTACTTCAAGAGCGGCTTCTGGGTGTATCCCGTGATGGAGGTGCTGACGCTACCGTTGCGAATAGTGTTCATCGTGTCGTTGCTGGTCGTCTGCATAGTCCTGTACTTCGTCGGCGAGACGCTGGACAACTATCTCTGGGGTAACAAATACAACACTAAGCATCAAACGTCTCACGCCAAGTCCAAGTAGCCTCGCCCAAGCGCCACTAACGGATGACAATCCGCGTTCTGCCTGCCGCGCGCCTGCGGTGGTGGTGAATGAATAAACGAATCTTTTTCTACACACCTCCGTTGCAGCATGCACGTGTACCATCCTCCAAAGTGAACCAAAGTCATTTAGAGTATTAGTAGAGCGTTGTGTATGTGCATGCAAGCGCATTTAGGGTGTAACCGAGGTGAGGAATCACGCGTTCGTTAACCCGGCCTGATGGGAATAACACGTGTCGAACAACAGGAGTGACATACAGATGCTTCTGTGCGGTCGGAGATTCAAGGGAAACTAATTTCAATGGTAGTAACGACAGGCGCGCCGATCGAATAAAAATGAAAGAAAGGTATGCACTCATCAGCAACCCGCCCTCGCTCCTGCCTCTCTCTCTCTCTCTCTCTCTCCACATGATAACACTTATTTTTATACTTTCGTAGCGCGAACGATTCATTATATTATTTTTTACCAATAAAATTAATGTGGTGCACGGAAAGAATGTGCGTGCGCGTGTGTGTGTGTATGTATAAATGTACGCGATACGTGTAACGTGACGCATAACCGAACTAAAGTCCAGATATATTTGTGTATCGAGTATAGGAAAAAAATGTGTAGCGGTAACGGAGAGCGTGGATCCAGATTTGAAAACGTAGAAACCAGCCGCCAGACGGATGAGGAAATCTTAAGTCTATCTCTAATGTACCGCTCGTCCGAAGATGACATCGCCGAAGACATCTTCTTGCTACTAGTGAGAAGTGCCTTGGCGTGACCTAGTACATATTTACGGAAAGTGGATTATAACTCCGACGCGTTCCTCGCGCGACGCGGAAAGCCGTTTTATCGAGGTTTCACTGGAAGACACTTCAATGTTACTTTTGTATGTTTCGACACGTTATCGATCAATGCTGCAGTTTAATTGGGCGAGTAATTCAGTGATATGTAAGAGGCCTAAGGATTAATGTTAATTGCCGTCGATATTCCTAGAGGTTTTACCAACAGACAAATCTCTTCTCGATATTCTTTTGTGTGTGCCAAAGAATTATTTCAAACAGAATACACTTAGTCAACAGTAATTGAGGGTATGCGATATATTATTCGCGACATATGCATTTCTGACGTGGATGTCGTACGATTCAAGTAATCTAAATGTCGACCAGTTTTAGCCTGGATTTTCCTCGATAATTCGGCAACTGGTTTTGACACCTTTGAGGGAAGTAATACAGCATTTCAGTGTCACATATCATCGTAGCAAAGTTTTATGCACAAACTTTAGATATCGAGAGAACGGTAGAACTAAATATGGGAAAAGATACAATATGTACAATGTGGTATTCATATAGGTATGTGTACTGATAGTATAATTACGAAATATATAAAATACAAGAAATATAAAAAATATAGTTTACGATTAGCGTCTTTTAATAGAAACATTTGTCGTAAAAATCAGAACAGAATTCAGAATCTCTAGACCTTGTCCTAATTGTGACTATTGCAAAAATGTACAACAGATAACGTCTATTTATTATCAACGACAATCGTTCGATGTTTTGCATCCTGTAAGCGTGACTGAAATTATCACCATTTGTGATAATTAAGCAAAAAAGAGATTTCTGTCTTCAGATTAGTCATTGATTTACTAGAAGTTAATAGTTAATAACATAACATTTAAGAGTTATAAAACGAGTTTTATTCAGCTGCTAAAAAAATTATAAACAAGGTATCTCTTACTGGGTATTCGATACATTCTTACGAACGTTCAGAGATATACGACAGCACAGAATATAGTTTCCATTTTAGCGGAAAGATGTTTGCAACATGATACATTTAGAATTATATTACCGTATAAATGCATCGCATTATTTAGCACTCGAAGCGAGCTGTCGACTAACGAGATATACTAATTTAACTACTATTTTAGCGATAATAAAAATATACAAAACTATCGACACGCATTATTATAGCTAAAATTTCTCGATATCAGAGTTCCCTATGTACACAAGTCGAATAATTAGTAAAAATTGTCATCACATGATCTCACTTTTTCGTTCAGAAGATACCACATCGACCGTAGGTAAGCGACGAGAAGAAATAAAAAAAAAAAAATGGTTTTTTTTATATACAACGATTGCTTCAATAAACAATCATACTATCTAGCACCTACCTCACTATATACACATTTCCCAATATACACCTCAGGGAAAGAGAGAAATAGGCAGTCCTCAGTCTTTACGTCACGATGTTTTTGCTTTTTTTCAACTGCGGCGAGATTTGAGTTCCCTTAGAACTGCAATGTCTACTGTTGATTATCTCATCGATGCTCTGCTTCAATTCTTCCATTTCCAATATATCGAGCGGCAGCGAGGTCTGTGTCGCCATTTCTCGGGCATTGCCTGTCTGCCCGTCTCCTTGCATCAGTCTTGTGAGCTCCGGACAACACGAGGTGAGACTAGACGCCAAATCGCCCGCTGCAGCCTTCCTATATGTCTCTTTCTTCTCGGTCTCGTTTTTTATCTTGATGTCGCTGCTCTCCTGAAGCAAGTGCTTCAAGATCATCTCATCCTGCAGAACATATTTGCTTCTATGGCCTTCCCGGTTTCTTCTGTTATTCTCGTGACTGTACGTCTTGCAGTTCTTATTGCTTTTAGTTTTGTTACGTTCATGCGCGTCCTCTGGACTCAACATCTTCACCTCCTCCTCCGGTTGACTGTTCTCGCCATCGCTGTCCTGTTCGTCTTTCTCTACATTTTCTGCCTTTATATCGACATGCACCGCGTCCTGATGCCTCTTCTCATCGCTGCTTAAATTTTCATCACTGCAACTTCGCGGAAACAAGAAGGGCAACAGCATACCCGCGTTTTTCATATCGATAATCTTCGAGCCACGATCCTCGATAATCAGAGCTCGTTCGTCCAGTCCAGCGTTTCCCAGCCTTCTGCCCATATTGGGCATTTGAATCGGCACATGGCCACCGGTTGTCACCAGCTGACTGTCTTGGGAAGTGGTACTGTCTCTTCTGGAATGCGGATCGATCTTCTTATTCGATCTGGATTTCTCAGATTTACCAAAGTCTCTTCTGTTCTTTCCACGACGACCGTTCGGACGACCGCCAACCTTTCGTGTGGTCTTCACTTGCGCAATCTGCACGGATATCTGCGAATCCAAGGAGTCTCGCCTAGATTCCATGGAGACACATCGGAAGCTATAACTGATCTCAGAATCCACCGAATTTCGTCTGTTGCTAGACACGGATCCGGTAGTACTTCCAACTAACGCGCCTCTTCGTGTGACCAGTTTGGGCAAAGCGGCTGCCCAAGTGGAGCTAAAGTCTTGCGAGGCCACAGAGTTGAGCTCGAAATTTAATCCGACCGGATCCTCGTGTGTGTTGTGGAAACTTATAGACAGTCGTCCAGCATTGTTGAACGTTTTCCGTTTCGCGAAGGCTTGCGCGATGACTTTGTGCTTCTTCAGTCTTATTGGTTCTTCAGTCTCGCAATTGAAGGTTCTGCAAACGCAAAGAAGACGCGTTCTATTCAGGGTCTCGTTGGTAAAGACGACGCGCGAATGAAATGACAATGAGAGTGTCTAACGTTTGCCGAAATTTACCTCTTCAAAAATCTGGACCACGTGTCAACCGTCGAACTGGTCCAAACCCACGAAGACATAAGTATGCCGGCGAAAAATGGTGCAAGCAGATGCAACTGCATTTTCCCTGCGCTAGGCCTTATGTCCATTTTACACTCGGACTCGTCCGAATATTTGGTTGTTATTGCGCATCTTTAAATGAAAATAATGGAACATTTATGAGTTTTTGACGAAATTACGTGACAAACTACCCCAGACATTTATATGCGAATTGTGTAGTTAAGTGATTTGAAAAAATACATATCGTGTGTATATCTGGACATTGACATTACGGTCCTTACATCATGTAATTTCTGAAGCTCTGTCGCCACTGCCAAGAATGCAGAAATTCGTATATATGGCAATAAAACGTCACACCAACTGCTGCCAAAGTAAATATGAAGAATAGTCCCATTCTAATGATGGTTTCTCGTATCTTTGCACTTGCTCTCTCAGACATAACTTCTCGGCTGCTTATTTTTAAGCTAATAAGCGTAAAAAGTCCTGAAATGCATGCGACAATGTGAATTGAGAATAACTTGTTAATACATTATATATGTATATATATATACACATACATATATATATACATATATGCACACATACAGAGTGGTTTGAAGGCAATTGAATATTTTCAAAACTGTATCACTATCGAACTGTATCGATAAAGTTAGTAAATGTTTGAAAGCGTTCAATTATTTTCATTTTGTAAAATAATAGATCAATACTCACGGCTCGCATCAATACAGAAAGCATTGAAGAAAGTGAAAATATATATTATTGCGATTATCACGTATCAACGTCATAAATATACGTGATAGAGAGTACTTACCTCTAGATAGGAAATAGCCTCCCACTAATAAACCGACCAACACCGGGCCTAACACAAACGAAACCCTCGCTGTATGGTTAGCATAACCCACGAAACATATTCCGGTCACGCTGTTACCATCAACCTCACCTAAGGTCATGATTGTGACCGTCAAGACGGTCGGCAAACACCAGGCGATCAGATGAAAGTAAGCACCTTTTTTGTCTATACGATCTTTTATTTTGCCTAGCGCTTGAAAACTCATGTGCCAGGCGTACGTCAATATAACGAACCATACCACAGCTGCTATCAGAGAATAATACACTAGAATGAAGGTTATGATGCAATACAAGGTCTCCCCGCTGAAAATAGACATTTTATGAGACTACGTTAATAAATGGGACTGGCGTAAAGCGCTGCGACGAAGTCATACCTTGGTTCACTCATTCGTAGCGTTCCGTCTTTGCGGCATACAATCACATCTCTGCCGAAGGTGAACTGGGCTAACCAGCCGATACAGGACACCATGAAGCAACAGTTTATGTAAAATATCACCAAGGCTGGATATTTGTTTGCGCTTCTCCAATCTATCAAAAATGTTATCTAAAATACATGCAATTGCATATGATTATGTCATTGAAAAATACATAAATTCACATTCTGAACTCTTCTTTAGAAGAGATGCTTTAGATGCTGAAAGCATCTCCAAAGGTGGTTTATAGCCAAGCAGAAAGCAAGCGAATCGCTTTTAGTGATGTTTTTAGCGATCAGAGATCGCTCAGAATGTGGGCTGTAGCATAACTGTGTCTCCCATGGCGTCTTACTATGGTAAATAAATTGAAGGCGCAGCAGATGCCCGCGGCCCACGCGATAAATGAATGTATCTGTTTGTGCTCGTCAGGTGTGAATAACGGATCGTAACATTGCGTGCCGCAGCCCTCCACGCCGTCGAAGATCGACAAGACGTTGTCGGTGGGTACGAGAGGTTTCAAGCACTTGCCCGATATGTTGAACTTTAATTCCCTGATGTCGTTCTTACACGTGCGTCGAAACAGTTCGTCATCGTCGCATTTCGCAGAACTCGGCCATATAGTGTGATTGAGCAGCATCCTACAAGGCCCCAAGACCATCTTGCACATCTCGTGAGACGGCAACTCCACTGTGTTGTTGACACACTTCGGCATGAATATCGAGCATAAGAATGGTTGAACGACCGCCCAACACTTTGGTATATGTCTTAGAGCTTGTAACAAGTGTAATCTTTCCTAAAAATAATCAACAGAAAAGTCGAGTTTAGATTACACAAGTTATACAACAAAATTTCATATAATAAACAGCAACAATATATTGTTGAGAAATATGTTAACATAATTCAGATAAAGACTTGCCAAAGGCAAGGTATTTATATAACATTATAGATAATTATATAGTTTAGAGTCCATCAAAGAAAGCGACAGGAAAATGTTACTAATGCAAACAGAATATAAATAATAATCTTATCTACCTCTATAATGCTTTGCGTTATGTGTCCTGGTATCAGGTCCAATGTAGTGTGGGTATATGGTAATTTCATACCCATGCAAGTAGTTTTGTTTAGAGAAATACACTTAGCAGGTCTTCGACAATTCATATCGTCTGATGACATGTCTATAGGATATGGGCTATGTCTGTCTATCAAATAATTAGAATCCTTGATTATATGTAGAGGTCCCAAGTCTATATCCTCTCCTGTATCATTCTTAGCTCCAGATGTCCTGTGAAGCAGCACGCAGCAAAGAACCAACAGAAGTGTCATCTGCGTATAGAGATAAAAAAACAAACTTTTTATTCAGGAATCAGTGAGAAAAATAACTTAAATTAAAGAAACAAGTGCAATGTGTCGAAAAAGAGAGAAAGAAAATGACAAATATTCTATTTTCTCATGGATTCACATAGATATGTCACAGAACCCGTCAATTAGTAACGAATATTTAAAAACAAAAAGACCACGTGGAGCACAATATATTTTCTGTTCTGTTTAGCTGCACTGCTGAACTAGTGCAATAAATTATAGTGAGAGAAAGTATATTTATTTAACTTATTGCACTAGTTCAATAGTGCAGCTAAAAAGAAAAATAATACACGACGTACTTTTGAGGGCTCACGAATTAATGTCGTTGTTCTCACAGACGATCTCGGCTAACCACGAGACAAAGTCTACGTCTTGCTTGGACGGAGCTTCTCGAATCTTCTACGGTCGCTGACGACAGTCGCACTCACAGCGTACAAAAGCAGCCAGACCACACACGCGTCGTGTTCCCTCGCACCGGACCACCCACGATGAGCTTCCCTTATAACTCGTCTTTCTAAAGTTTGAATGCACGCTATAATCAGCTTCGCGCATTGCTCACTAACGGCAGCACTGTCGCTCGCTAAAAGACTAGGGTCGAATCGCCGCGCGCGCGATGTTTTTTTTACTTATTATGAAAATAAATCTAAAAGGCCCAACCGAAGAGCGTCAGAATTAATTGCTGGATTCACAAGTGAAAAGATACTCCATGGGCTTTAGGATAGAATGGTTTATTTGTAACATTGAGATACTTGTTACTTTTCTTTCAAGTACAATAATTTTTTATTGAGATAGGATTGAGAATTGGTGAAGGGTGATTTATATACAGCGCATATAAAATTATTATGAAGACTATTTACATGTTGTATGTAATCTGAAAGTACAGGTACTAAAAGTAAATAGATAAACTGGTTTATATATATATATATATATATATATATATATATATATATATGTATATATATATAGATGTGTGTGTGTGTGTGTGTGTGTGTGCCTGAATAAATGTTTCAATGACCTTTTCATACTAAAATTTTATTTCAGTCATATTTGTGTTCGTACTTATAACTAATTTATGTTTTGTACTAATCAATTAGGTAAATTTGTTTTTCGACTCCAACTTGAGAAACATCTCTTGGTTGCAACCGAGTTTCTCTGTATTACTTGGATAATTCTTGATCAGACTCCTAATAAAAAATTCCGATTATGATTGATAAAAAGAAGACTACACTTTGCAAATTATACAAATAGTTATAAACTAATAATTGATTCATTTTTCCGAATTACACATAAAGCGTACAGCACATACATCAACACACATACGAGTAACACACGCGTGCAGTTCCCGAAGATAGCTATACATTCTCACAAAAAAAAATTGAAGAAAGATGTCATTAGTCTGTAAACGTTGTGTGTAGTATATTGGCAAATGTACTATACAAGGATAATTAACTCGTTATATCAAGAGCTTTTATGTTTGCCAATAAATCCTTTACATCGTCCTGTACCTGATCCGAAGTATTGGACAAAGAGAGACGCGAGCAAAAATTATTCAGCGTTTCTATCTGCTCCTTCATATTCTTCTGCTTGTTAAAGTATGTCATCAGCATTCCAACTATGCTGTGCATCTCCTCTTTGACATTTACCATACTTCCGTACTTGCAATTCTGTAACATCTTCAATTTTGCTTGAGCTAGATGTAGTGGATTAAAGCCGTATTGATCTATCAAACGGACATTGGTACCGGCTGCCAAGAGCAACGTCACTACTGAGATCTTGCTAGTAACTGCAGCCAGATGTAGCGGCGTGTTACCTATACGATCACGTTTATTCGGGTCTGCGCCATGTGCCAACAACAAATGGACTATTTCCGAATAACCCCTACAGACAGAGAATCGTTAATGCTATAAAGCCTATTGTTAATATATTAATTATAAATATATCTAGAATTTTTCTTTTACTATATAGATCTATTATATATTAACTGTGAGAATCTATACGAAATTGATTGACTCTTTGTGTTAATTTTACATTGAAAAGATATCCAATGAAGGATGGAATTTGTATGCTATAATTTATATATGATAATATAAGAGATTATGGCCCATATTCTGAATCCTCTTTTATCGATAAAGTGTCTTAAATGTAGTTTCTCAGCCAATCAAGTGGCTCCTAAGCCTCTTTTAGAGACACTTTTATAGATAAAAAAAGATTCAGAATATAGATCTTAATCTTTATACATATTTCATACACGACTTTTTGACATTCAGTTCTTATAAATTCTTCTTTACAAAATTCCTTTTTTAGATTGCCTATCATTACTATGATTATATTACAATTGCTTGAATGTACATATGACCTGCAAGCTGCATGATGAAGGGGAGTGCGACCTTCTACATCGTGATTGTTGGGCGATACATTATTTCTCAAAAGTTCCTTCACCGTGTCTACGTCATTAGTTGCAGCAGCTAATCGCATTCTTCGTTCATTCAATGGCTTTCGCCATTCTACACATTCACTTTGCAGTCTCAAATTATAAGAAGCACCTCCTAAGTTAATATCAGATTATTATGTTATCATTCAACTTTTACAAAAGAACATGCTTTATCAAATATTTTGCATGATAATTTCTATCAAAATACTGCATTTGGAATTAATTCCATAAAATATACCTACTCTCAGGTAATAAAAGGCGACTGTACTCCTCCATTGGAAGGCGATTGTATCCACGTACAGTTTTAAGTTTTAATTCTCTAATTCTTCTTCTATATGTTCTCTCGTATCTCATCAATATCTGAAACAATAGCAATGTGATTTCACCTCTTGGACTTTGAATTACTTGACATATTTTTAATTACATGGATATTGTTTACATGGCTCCTATGCCATTTGTGCTCGGTGTCATGGGCCGCCAACGAGGTTTCTCCGAGAGTGTGCAATTTACAATGATCGCTAACAGAACATAATGTCCTGTCGACCGGCCAATGTGGTTTAAAGGTCATCAAGTAGCTTGGACTGGGTAGAAAAGTCTCGTTCGATTTACATGTGTCAGTGATAGCGACCGATGCAACTTCATCAACTGCATCCTGGCCGATAGTGGCAGCGGAAATATTTGCAGCAGTCGCGACGGGGCTAACAATGGTTGTTGCATGCTGACTCTCGTGTTGGACGATCGAGCTATCATTCGAGTCGTTCCCGGTCTCCACACCCGAATCCACTGATGCCATACTTATATGAGGACGCACAACATACAACGAAGCAACGTGGAAATCACTCACATGCTTGATTACACCTGCATTTAATTGCTACATAGGCTGCGTTCTAATATTTACTGTCAGGAATGACAAATTATAGTTCATGTCACGTATACTATAGATTTTCGGTGCTGTCAGAGCTGGCAGTGGAACATGGCCATAGAAATGGTCAGAGGCGCTAGAGGTGAGAAAGTCCCGATCTACAATAGGTAGAGTTGGGTAAGTTAACTTTTTTTTTAACTAATAGCGAATTCGGTTGCTTGCACTAGTGTGCACTGAGTGCGCACTAAGGCTTGTTCATAGTATGTTATTATATTTAAAGATTGTCTTAAATAATTCTCAAATAAATTCTCAAATATTTTTAACCATAATATGATATGTATAACATCCGTACGAATCATTTTATTAGTTAAAATGTTTTTAAATATGTATTTAAGACACGATCTTAAATATAAGAATGTACTGTAAACAAGCCTTAATGCGCACTCAGTGCGCACTAGTGCAAGCTACCGAATTCGCTATAAGTTAATGGCCTTAAAAATTTAACTTAGTTAAGATACAAGTTAACTCATAATGAAATTAATTGAATTAAAAGTCAAGTTAATAAAAAAAAGTAATTGAAAAGTTAAAAGTTAAATATGTTTAATTTCATGACTTCTCTCTCTTTCTCAGGGTTTTAGTTTTACAAATAACGGAAAAAATAAATATACACCTTATAGCGTGTTCGACTAGTCCTGGGTTAATCGCTCCGAGAGTGATTAATGACGTCATAAGTCTCTACTAGCCAATCATAAAGCTTACAAGTACTTGTTCGACCAATAAACGTAGGCTGAATAACCCAGAGTGGGTTAACCCAGAGCCAGTCGAACATGCTATTAGAGCCAACACCAAGCACATCCGTAACATAAGGTTTGTTCTTTCCAGCTGAACTTTTTGCACTAGTTCAAGAAGTGTACACTGGGGCGTTCTTTCTAGTGCGTTCAGATTCCCTATCCAGGTGCACTCTAATACTAGAAGTATTATAGTATATGTGACATGTACTATAGTGTTTCTTGTAATAGAGTGCACCCGGATGAGGAATCTGAACGTAGCCTAGGTACTCGATTCTCTAATTAGTATACGTAAGTTTTACTGCGCAGGTTCAATCATATCGTAAAATAGCTGCGCAATGAAAGTAACGTTTACGCAAAAATTTCAAGAATATGGGCCTAGAAGTGACTGTTCTTTCCAATGGTGCAGCAGAACTTAGTGCAACAGTTCACTTTCAGTGCAAGGGTAAAAGTTACTATACCAGTACAAGTAGTTTAGATGAAAAGAACAGATCTATGAAGATGGAAGAGATGAATTGCAGAAAAGAGATCTGTTTTCTGTTGCTGCACTACTGAACTGGTGCAATAAGTTAAAGTGAGACAAGCATATATTTTCTCATTCTAACTTATTGCACTAGTTCAGCAGTGCAGCAATAGAAAACAGACTCAAGGAATGTAGGTGGCAATATCTCAGATAGGTTCTGCGTGTAATTGAGATACATACATTAACGCAAGTACAGTAAATTCTTCATCTAAAGAATTAATTGCATCTAAAATTATGTGTTGCGTCATGTTGTTTCCTGCACCTGTTGTTTGGCATATCTGTACCTATGAACTTTTGCTATACTCGTTAGTTCCAGTTCCGAATCAGTGCAGTTCCAGTGCAGCATTAGTTCAGTTGAAAAGAACAAACCTATAAACTTAAGGCTGCGTTCAGATCCATATCCGGGTGTATTCTATTACTAGAAGTGCTATAGTATATGTAACGTATACTGTAGTGTTCTAGTAATAGAGTGCACCCGGATGAAGAATCTGAACGTACCCTAAGCTAGCGGCACACGATGCTTGTTTTCACGCTGGATTGTTTGCTGGATGGAAATATTCTGTTCTCATTGGTGCATTCCTGAAGATGGATATGTATTATGCAGGATTCACAGCGCGTCCGATGTCCGACGTACAACATCCGATATCCAATAGGAGAATAGCTTTCTTATATAGAATTCAATTCTCCATTAGAAAGCTATTCTTTTATTGGATATCGGACGTCGTACGTTGGACATCGGACGCGATGTGAATCCTGCATTATTGAATATCGGATGTCGTACGTCGGATATTGACGCAATGTGAATCCTGCATCAGAAAGCTGTTCTCCTAGTTGTATTGGATATCGCGTTGTACGTTGGACATCAGACGCGGTATGAATCCTGCATTATTGTAGATCGAGACTTATAGCATGTTCGACTGGCTCTGGGTTAACTCACTCTAGGTTATTCAGCCTACGTTTATTAGTCAAACAAGTACTTATAAGCTTTATGATTGGCTAGTAAAGATTTTTGACGTCATTAATCGCTCTCGGAGCGATTAACCCAGGGCCAGTTGAACAAGCTATTAAGGGTGCGTTCAGATTCCTCATCCGGGTGCACTCTATTACTAGAAACAATATAGTATATGTGACATATACTATAGCACTTCTAGTAATAGAATACACCCGGGTGGGGAATCTGAACGCAGCCTAAGCTGGTGGCACATAGAAAAACTTAAACAGTTAGGGCTATCGCACACAAATTGACATAACTGCATATGCATAGCATAAGACCGTATGTACCAATGAGCATCGAGTATTAAGTCGCCATATTGGTGTTCGATGCTTAATATTCGATGCTCATTGGTCCATACGATCTTATGCTATGCATATGCAGTTATGTCAATTTGTGTGCGATAGCCCTAAAACGTAAGCAGTAAACAAATTGACCAATCACAGTCATTGTTTCTTCTTACGGTCCAAGAATCAACGACTGTGATTGGTCAATTTGCTTATACTACTTACGTCTTACTACTTACGTCTGACTGCTTAAGTTTTTTTGTGTGCCACGACCCTTAGGGCTGCGTTCGAAAACGTCACACGAGTACTCTCCCTCTCTTTTTATCCCTTTTTATCCCTTTTTATCTTGTATTTCGCTCACTCCAATGGCTATCGTCTAGTAGTGTGCACACAGTGTGTGTTTCCGAACGCAGCCTAGATCGAATATATTCAGAAAATCGATTTAAAATCGATCTTTTAGGTTCCGATTAATCGATCGTCGATTAAATCGATTTAAAACCGGTATTCTAACCTAACCTAGATGTTCTCGCAAGTAGAATTGTGACAAAGTGAAGCAAAGTTAAAAGTATGAGTGGTGCGTGTCGAGTGACGTTTCATTTTACTGCTCTGACCAGTGCAGCTCTGAGCGGATGGTATCTAGGCAAGTTCTTCGAACAGAGGCGATGCTCGAACGAAAAAGACAATGGAACGATTGTGTCCTCGAACGCGCGAATACGTAACATGCCAGCTTTGCCCTTATTCGGCACGGTTACAGCTGCCACCCCTTTGTCACCCGTCGAAAGCAACATATCCGAGATGGGCTCCAAAATATCTTCCACAGCCGCGAGAATATCGCAGGTAATAAAAAAGAATTTCAATGACTCCTAATTAAACTCCATGTGTTTGGAGTGATGTTTCATTGCGAGAGCTGAGGTGAGGCCTTCATTCTCAATATTTACTGTAATTTTTGTATTTTGTATTTTATATTTTAAGATGACTAGCATACATTGATCATTGCTGTAGATTATGAAATTTGGTTTTCCCGGATTGGACCATGTCAGATCATACGACGATTTTGTATTGTCGTACGATAGACGGAACAGAGTCGCTCATTGGGTATTCGAACACTTGACTAAGGAAAGATTGCGGTACAACGATGTGGAACGTTCAAAATGCGAATTTAAGCCTGATCAGAGTATACACCCTTTCTTCAGGTCCGAGTACAAGCTTATCTTTTAGACAAAAGCACTTTTAGAATGGTTCACAGAATTCGGAAAATTTCGTAAAATCACTTTATTTCATCTTAACAATGTCAATAGATCAGAGAATACAGATTACAAGGGAAGCGGATACGATCGTGGCCACCTGGCTGCTGCTGGAAATCATAAAGTTGAACAGAAACATATGGAACAAACCTTTTTCCTTTCTAATATGGCGCCGCAAGTTGGCGTGGGTTTTAATCGAGATTCTTGGAATAGATTAGAGAAACATGTTAGAAAGTTGACCAACATTTATAAGGATGTTTATGTGTGCACGGGACCACTGTATCTTCCAAAGTGCGTTCACCATTCTTGCTATGTTGAAACCTTTTTGCAAACTCTCCCTGTTTATTTCAAAATGGCTGTTGAATTTTTTATATAATTATATTATTATTATTTCTTCATATTTTTATGCATTACTCATCTCTGATAGTCCTTTCGGTATATTGCAAAATGTTACATTAGATTTGGATATCTAACTTGTCAATCTATTTGTTGGTACACTTCTCTTAATGTGCATATCTTTTTACAATTTATCTTCTTATAACCAAGGTTGTATTGTAAGTGCATTTTCTTATTTTTATGTAGAAAAGAAGCAGATGGAAAAAAGTATGTGCGCTACGAAGTAATAGGTGTAAATAATGTGGCAGTGCCCACGCACTTTTATAAAGTGATTGTTGGTGAAACACACGAAGGCAAGTTGGAGATGGAAGCCTTTGTAATGCCAAATATGCCAATCGATGATAATACGCCGCTCACTAATTTCCAGGTAAGTTTTGCTTTACATTATTATTAGAAGTAAAATTTACGAAAAAGAAAATGAGTATGTGTGCGTGCGTGTGTGTCTATACCTATATAATGCTCTGTATCCGTGAAATAATATAATAGAAGTAATATAAGGAGAAAATAAATCGAGCGGGGAAAGTGAATGAAATATATCTAACGAATATGTATTAAAATTTAAAACAAAAACACTAATCTTACCGACAGGTGCCACCGGAAAGAATCGAACGCGCTGCCGGACTTTTATTTTTTGACAAAATATCGCGCGACAGATTGAGCAAGGTGAACGGCAAAAGCGCAGGCTGGTTTTAACCCTGCATTAATTAGGTTAGACCTTTAGTCTTTTATTAGCGACAATGAATATAGTAAAAAACTGAAAACTCTCATAATTGCCTTTCGCCAACAAACAACAACAAACTGAAGACAGAGACTGATACTCTGGTTCAACGCATTGTCGAAGAACGATAATAATACATTAACTTCCAGGTATCAGTGTATTTTATCTTTAATTATACGAGACGTTTTACACTTTAAGATAACTTTTTTTACACTTTCACTTTTTTTAGATATATTGCAATGAGACGATTTATTCGTTCATACGATGACGGAAAATATTATTCTGTTAAAGTGTGTATGTGTGTAGAAATGCGATAAAATATGAATAAATTAGAGCATTACAAGAGTATACTTAATTTTATTAGGTGTGTTACTGGAGAGAAAGAAATTTCATCACGCTGTATCACATTTCATCAAAGTGACAAATACACACAGCCGTTTGTTAAATTATATGTGTATATATTTATTGATTTTGTACATTTTTAATTATCCACTTGAGGGAAGGGAGAGTCGCTATACCTACTTATCTAACGCAATGTGTCGCGTACGTGTCTGTCGTCACGATTATGTGGAATAAACTTTCGCGCTCGAATCTACGTATTTCATTCGATCCTTTCCTTTTTTCTACCCTTTCTTTTTTTGCGACGATCTAAATTCGAGCGTGTCTACGGTGAAATAAATTATACTTGCGAATAATTTTACATACTACTGTCGGAAAATGAAAGGGCTATGCTCGTTTGTCCAAATTATAGATATTGGGATAATTTTCATACAATTTCGACGTATATACATATATCTGCGATAATTGTAATTAAGGAAACTGAGTTGATGGGAAATTATTTTTCTCGGATATATTTGGTCTCCTGTTTTTTCGTGTCACGCTAAAAATTCAGTCTTGCGAACATACGCTTTAGGGTGATGAATATCGTGCAAAAAGTCACAACATTGTGACATAATTTTTACAGAGTAAACTTGTATAACGCAAGCTTACCTTGCCGTTTACTTTGGTCGCGTGGTAGTAAGTAATTACGTACCGATTGATATATGTTCGTCGTTCGTTAAATACCTAATAGTTATATAAAATTCTAGTGATAAAATCGTTAATAATCTTCACGACTTATGAGCTAAGCTATTTACAAAATTAACAAGCGCGATGGCGATATCGCGAGTTTTTCGTGCGTGTATAAGAGTATTCTTTTCGCTCGCGAGCCTCGAGTCGCGACGAAAACACGACATCGTCATCTCTTCACGATAAATTTGAATAAACGTTGACATCGCTTGACAATACTAGTATAGAGGACCTAGTGTATGTATGTATGTATGTATGTGTGTGTGTGTGTGTGTGTGTGGTGTGTGTGTGCACATATGCGGTGGATAAATTAAATAAAAGTTTATTGGTGTCGGATTAAAAGAAAAGTCAATTAAAATTAGATTGATAATACAAGATAAAAAGTTTTCTTTTTACATAAAAAAATAGTAAATACTGAAAGAGGCAGTGAAATTAATGAGAGCAGTAGAAGAAAGGAAATATAATCATAAAATTATAAAATTCATTTGCAAAATCAAATCAACATATATTATTTAAAAATATGTAAAAAAAGAAATTTAAAAAATACTGGACGTATACTTAGGAAATAAGAAATAACAAATAGAAATGTACAAAATATCTTTTAACTGCTAATGTTGAACTGCTATTTTCGAAACTGGAAATTAAGATTCACATGATTATAATTTCTGCCAACTCTCCTAAATTCACTTTGCCTGTTATAGCTGTAAGAACATTATGCATCATTTTTGGAATGTCCTGTCATTCTTTTCTTCTCACACTTTTCAATACTATATGCTTCCATTTATAAATGACATTTTCAAGTCTGTGTACGTGTACATGTGTGTGTATATGTGGGTGTGCGTGTGATGGGGGAATAGGGGGGAGATTAGGCACTAAAATGGACGGGTCTGTTCGTTCGGTTACCTCCTTCGAGTATTGCTTATGCCTTAAGGACACTTTTTCTGAAAGCTTTAAGTACACTTTGTTGAAATCCACGATGTCTTATGCGTCATGCGATTTGTAGAGCGTCCCAGATAAGTGTACTCTCTCCTTGTTAATGCTAAGCTTCACCGGACGAAGATAATTAAATTTTTAAAAAATTTGCTATCCGAATCTCTTACGATTCCAAAATCTTCAGATTACATATTCCTGGATCATTAGGCATTATCCAGTCTAACGATCTTTTGTTCTTTGAATCCACGAGTTCTTGAATGTTGTTGGTCCCTTGGATTCTTTTAAAAAGATCAAGAATGTAAATTTATTTTAATCAAGAAATACGTTCTTACACATAATGTAATTTTTCTTCTTTCCTCTGGGACACTCTGTATATATATATACACATATGTATGTTCCTCACGACCGCAGGGAAGTACATTAAATCACTCAAGAAACTTATAGCGTAACGTTGGCTTTATCTCGCTCCAACGTAACGCCGAGTTTTCGAGAATTGCTACCAAAAATTAGTCGATAATTATCATTCTTCGTCTTAAACGCAATATCGAGAAGCGTTTGTGTTGTTGACAACAAATTTGTTAAATTCATCATTAATATTGAAACACTTCTCTTTGCACCTATTCGATTATTCTGTGCAGACGGATTGAGAGGATTTGAGACAAATCTTGGAATCAATTCCAAAAGATTCCAAAAGATTCTAAAAGAGAAATTTATAATTTCGCATGCATAAATTCTCATTTAATTTCAATTCCTTTTAACTCGTCTGCCGTTTATAACGGTGAAAGAACGACAAAAGCGACTAGAAGACGCTATGAGTAGTCGCTTCACGCCATCAACTTAGCCGTTCGTTGAGCAGTCATCGTCGTGCAAGTGATGCATGATATTTCAGTCGACAAATTTCACAGTGACTATTCCCGCAAGAGATACTAAGATGTACCAACGCGATCCTCGAAGTACGGAAGCTGTCCTCCGCCGCGATAGTAAATATCATCACAATTAAAACTTCAGTTACTATAATGAAATTATCATCGGAAAAACCTTGTTATTGTGAGTTTAATTTCAGCAAAAGAAAGCAAAAATTACGCGACTGTATTTTTCTCGTAAAATTTATAGCATAAAATTTATTCACATGTCACGCAAAAAATTGCATTCGTACAACTTGTTTGGCGATTTCGTGATCAGCTTCCATAAAGCGAGATTTGCGCGTTACCTAATTGCCTGCCCCAATCGCTGCTCGATTAGATCAATCTTTCCTCCGGCGGAGGTTTCATCACATTATCCATCTCCACTCGCGGATTACTGAACTCCTGAGCGCTCGGGCTATAAGTGCCGCGTGTGGCGCGCTTCTTTCTGGCCATCATGAAGAGCGCTATGAGGGATACAAGTGCGATGATGAAGAGGCAACCTACTATTGGCCCCACAATCACTGCAATATCGAGAGCTTGGCTGCCCAAGAAATTTCCCGACTAAAAATTTAACAATTATTAAAATCAATATCACAATATTGTTTATGTTAATTTTCTTACTTTGATATTCTTACTTATAGAAAAAAAGAAATTCATAGAATGGATCATTTACACAAGAACAAAACATATGTGTACGTACTTTTTGTTAAATATAAATTAATAATGATACACGCACATATAGAGCAAACAGAATATTTAATCGACTGTTTATCGCTGTATATTCGTGCGTGATATTTTATTACAAATATTTTCTCACATTCTTATTTTACAAAATTGAAAAATTTTGAAATATTTGCTTTATGATTTTATATAATCGTATGCTGTTATCGCATTCTATATATCTTCACTGAATTATCACTAAGAAACTCAACGTTATCTCTGCTCGTTTACACTACTTTACCAAACTTTCTTATTGAATTTTTTATCTTACCTCTGTACAATTTTGTCCCGTGTATTCGGAAGTGCATTGACACGTGTAACCGCCGTCGTCGGTGCACTTGCACGTGCCGCCGTTCTGGCAATATTCCTAATACGAAATTGAAATAGAGAGATCGATCAAATGTAAAAACTACACAAGTGAACATTACATGCAATTTGTTGTCTTTCCATCTCAATTTTTCCTAATTTTTTGCAAAAAAACCACATCTTGCAGATTCAATTTTTACCAATATTGCTTTGGTGAACAAAAACAAAGAGTAAAATATTCTTTTCTTCATAAACTCCTATCTCCTCCTTTCCCCTTCTACGTTACGTATTTCATTTTTAGGAAGCTCTCACCTGTTTGCAGGGATTCACCATTCCGCAATTGTAGCCGCAGTAACCCGAGTCGCAGATGCACCGATAGATGCCGGGCAAATTCTCGCATTTGCCGTGTCCGCAATCGGTTGTTGGATCCAGACATTCGTTTATATCGATGGAGCAGTCTGGACCGGTGTATCCGGTACCCTGACAGTCGCACGTGAAGCTGTTCACTCCGTCGTAGCACTTGCCGTCATTCTTGCAGGGCACGTTACCTTCGGGATCCGATGCGCAGTCGTCGATGTTTATCTCGCAATACAGACCGGAATAACCGAGGATGCAGGTGCACTTTGGTGCTTGCTTAATGTGATAAATGATAATTAAGAGATTCACAGAATTTTTAAGAATATAAAACTACTGAGATTTTAAGTCTGGAAGCGACAATATGTAAGAATTTAAGGACTAATTGAGACAATAGTACGTGTAAAACTATTCGAAATGAAGAAATCTAATAATAATACTATACAAAAACAAAAGCTATGAAAACACGCTTATTAACTTGAATTTGAAATTTGGACAATTGCACGAAACCTTCTACGTTTCTTCGTAAATACAGTTATTACCTGATACAGAAAGTCACATCTACCACCATTTTGGCATTTTCTGCCGCTACAGTAGGGCGTGTCACAAACCGAGCCCTCGTATCCGAGTACGCAGATACAGGTGTAATTATTGCCTGTTTTTGGATCCGTCACGTCCACGCAAGTAGCACCGTTCTTACACGGCTCGTTCTCGCAAGTAATGAGTCGAAAGTTCTCGCAGAAATTTCCGGTGAATTGGTCCGGGCACTCACACTTGAACAATCCCGGTAGATTCAAGCACACGCCATCGTGTTGGCACGGGCTGAGCGTTACGCACTCGTTGATGTCGCTGTCACATCTACAATTAGATAAGAGTTGATAAGATCTGGTAGCGAGATCTCTTATGAGATCGTTGGGTCATTGTAATTATGAAGAAATATAACGTTTTCCTATAAGTCGCTACTCGTAGTCTATGGAGTTACTTTGTAGTTACTCTCACGGGGAAACCTTTTTTTTCGTACTTTACGATGTCGCTATTTTATAAAAATATTTGGCTTCATTATTTCCCGTGTAATTTTTTAATAAAAATTTTGCTTTTATAAATAAACACCGTATAGAGTTTTGAATTCTGAACACTGCATATAATATTTGCATTGATTTAAAGAAATAACGATACTAACAGCCATCCTTGCCAGCCGCTGTTACACACACAGGTGTAATTGGCGATGCCATCTATGCAGGTCGCACCGTTCTGGCACTTGTTGTCTTTGCATTCGTCAATGTTAAAAGAACAGTCATCCTCGGCGTAGCCGGCGGGACACTCACACACGTAACTGTTTGCCTTGTCGAGACAGTAGCCCTCGTTTTTGCAGTCCGTGTCGAAACACAATTGACAACCAATGCTGTCGCGATGTGTGCCATTGTCGTGTAACGACATTTCTTGTAACGATAGAAATTGCAGCGGCGTAAAGTTTGCGTTCTGATACACCTCCTCGTATGTGAAATAATGCAACAGCATGCTGCCGATCCGCACCTCCCCCAGACAGCCCTTGAACGGTTCTCCTGTAAGAAAATACTAGTGAATAATTCAAATAACGCGATCCCGAAAACTGAGAAGGTCGACAAGAAGAAGGAAAAAGAGAGTCGTATGGAATAAAAGAGAAATTTATAATTGTGATGTGTAAAAAGTAATATAAGATGTAAAAAAGTATATATTAAAGTATATAAGACGGAGCAAATGCACAAAAAAAACATAAGTTCAAGAACTAAGAGAGTTGAAACACACCCACCTGACATCATACTATGCGGCGGCGGCGGCGGTGCGGTCGTCAGTCCATGCTCGTTGCTGTAATCCACACTATTTCCCTCGATTCCATTCCTCTTTTCCTGTCTGGATCCGACAGTGACGTAACTGTGTCTATCGGATAACGCGCTAGACAATCCGCCGAGGGTGACCGTTCCCGTCACCAAGAGCTCATGCCACAGCTGGTACTTGAAGTTGGAGCTCATGTGAGGTGCATGTTCTTCGGCGGGATTGGCATAGCCGCATTCCACGGAATTATTGTTGAATCTAATCAGCAGCGAGGTCCAGTTTCCGTCTGGTTGCGTCTTTCCAAAAGACAACGCACCCTGATTCTCCACGTCCAGTTGCCACGACACGGTAACAAAGTCTTTAAAAACGGACACGGTGAAATGCGAATCACCCACATGCGGCGTCATGTGGAGCAAAGTTCCGCCGGTGTTGGATCGATAGGTGATCTCGATAGTGTTGAGCGATGAGTTGCTAACATTACGCTCATCGGCGCGATCGTACGTATATGTGAACGCAGTGGAGATGCCGTCGAAAGTTGCATTAGCGATGCACTCGTAACCGTCATCGAGATTCTGGCAACGGGAACCCGCTGGACAGTCTTGTAGCTGGCAGAACTCCATCTCCTGGCAAGTTTTGCCGGTGTAGCCACGCGGACACTGGCACCAGAAGTCGTTCCATGTAACGTGGCAAGTGCCATTGTGATTGCACGGGCTGCTCACGCACACATTGTCTGATACCACGCCTTCGAGGACTTTATCATAGTCGAATGACACGTTACCGAACTGGATCGGCGAAGGAATATCCTGTGCCTGAAAGAAATCTCAAACTTTTGAAGTGAAATTTTTGAGAAGCTAAAAATCGTTTGACCGGAAAATTCCGAAAAGTTGTAACAAACTTGCAATGACTGTAAGCAATGATCCGTAAATCTCCTGTCGTATAATCAAAGTAAAATGAAAATACGAACCTTCAAGGGGAAAAATTCCACGACCATAGTTTCGACACCGTTCGATATCTGCACATCCTGGATAACGCCCTTAAAGTTAATCTGCGACGTTACTTGCTGAACATCCATCTGCCTGTTGTCGACCTGACGAATATATCTCGACGTCTGTGGCAGTCCTCCCAGATAAAGGACGGTCACATTGAGTTGTCCCGTTGCGCTGATGGTCTTGCGGAAGTACTCGGTGCCGTTTATTTTTACTTGAACAAGGGTGACGTTTCTAACTACTTGAATCAGATGATTGTTCCCATCGTGAAGTTTTACCCCGCCGACAGTATAAGCTTCCGTGCCGTTAAACTGGATTCTCACAAGCAGTTCCCCACCCTCCAGCTGTGCCGCTATGTAAGTCTTCTCCTTTTGATCACTCTGAGAACTCGGCTCCGTACCTAGATAAAATATGTCACCGCGATCCTGCCTGGTGCGAACAAACATGGAAATGTCGACGATCGATCTGACAGCTCGCCTTGCCGCGTCAAACACCTTCACAGTCACGTAACCGTTTGTAATATTCTCGTAGCCGAAAGTAGCGGCCGTCATGTTGTACTGACACGTATGGCCCAAGTAAGGACGCTCGCACTTGCAGGAAAAGTCGCGCCAACGATCGGTACAGTGACCGCCATTCTTGCATGGATTTGGCGAGCATTGAGCTTCGCGAGGACAACCCGGTTCCACGTCTTCCATGTACACGGTCTTTGACATGGTACCGGAATAAATCTGTAAACAAAGAGTCTGTAAACTAAGAGTTGCTATTACAGGCGTTTTAACAAATTGAATGACCGTGAAAAATGACCATGTGTGCAAAATTCGTACAATAATCAATACAGATGTACACATGTATATAATAAAATTACAGATAGACTTCAGAATAAGATCGTATGCGGTCTCATTAACGAAATAAGCAATTGACGACAAATCGATCAGTATACCCATTCGCCGTTGATGACGACATCTTCTGTGCAGCCAACGAAGAACGGTGGCCCATGTGTCAATTTCCTGAGGTAGCTAATAGTGCCGCCTACATAAGTCATGGGGAAAGACGTGTGGTTCGAGTTTGAGCCCTCGTTGAGGCTGATAGGGTAGATGGTTTGCTCTTCGTTAGCAGAGAGAACGAGGTGAGTCGCGTTGATTGCCACGAAGACCTTTTGCCAAGTGGAATCGTTGAGGCCACTACCAATAAAAACACCCTCCCACTTGTTGAGCAAGCTGGAATGTAGGTTGAGCTTGCCATTCACTAGTTCGAGGATGTAGAAGGTCAAACCCTTGCCGATGGCCAGGAGACCATTCGGCAAGGTGGTCCTGAAGCGGAATTGTATGTCGTAACCCTCATCGCGCGTGGTATTCACCACGACATATGAACTGCCGCTCAAAGACATCGTGGTCACCTGCAAGAGATGCCGAGGAGGACTTATTTAACGTCTTTCACATTAGAGTCAGTACGTTTACGCATCTTTTCTCACTTGAAATGCTTCGAAACGAGTGCGATAAGGCATAATAAAATATAAATGACATACACCTTTGTCTTTGGCGATCAATAGTGACTCGATAGTTAACCGGTGAGAATTTTCTCAATCGTGCGTACGTAAGAAATTGCGACTTGGAATTTCCCTTCATCCAGCACAACGCATAAAGTTCCATAGATACTCACATAATCGCAAACTTCACCGTGGTAGCCGTTGGGACAGGTACAATTGAACTTGTGAATAGTCTCGTCGATCAAGTAGGGCCAGCAGGTACCTCCGTTTTGGCAGGCGTTGCCCTGACATCCAGTCAACTCTACCGAACAATTCTTGCCTCCGTATTCCGGCTCGCACGTACAAAAATAGTCGGCCCTGCCGTCGGTGCAAACCCCGTGTTCGCAGGGATTATATCTCTTGCACTCATCGATTTCGTGCTGGCAGTGATCACCCTCGTAGCCCTCGTCGCATTCGCAGGTGTAGCCGCCGATGCGATCCATACAGATGCCCGCTTGACAGGGATTGCTATCGCACTCGTTGATGTTTACTTCGCAATTCTTGCCGGTGACACCTTGTACGCACAAGCACTCGTACCTGCCGTAATTTCAACAATTAATTTTACGATACTACGAGAAGAAGAATAGAGTATACATATATGGTATTTTATGAATTTTAGGTCGACGCTTTCGTGAGACATAATTCGTAGAACAATGGAAATTCGTAATGAGTGATTTGGACATTGAGTGTGTGTATATATATAAAATCAAGCGCGATTCAAAATCGCGATACAAATTGCGCGCGATTTAAAATCGTATTTGCGATATACAATTGTGACGCGATATATTGCATTTATAGCGATTCTTAAGAAAGATCGCATCACGATACACAATTTCATAAATCGCACATCCTTACACTCTACACTCTGTTTTCGATACTCTTACGTGGATCTTACTTTAATATTATCAAATATTAAAGTGTATAGAGATTCAAAAGAAAACGAATTGCTAACGAAATAATAATTGCTAACTAATTAATAAATCATCTTAATATTTGATAACATCCATGTAAAAGCGCCAATAACTAATGAATGCTGTACGAAACGAGTGCCAGGCGATTTCCTCTATATATATTTGTCTTTCTTTTCATATTTTCTCTTTTTCAATGAAACTTGAAAGAAATTTTGGTTAAATGAGCTCACCCGCTCGCGTTGACATAACTGAATTCCTGGGTGAAGATCGCTGGCAAAGTCAAAGCGTCACTCTTGTAAAGTTCCCTATTGGATCTCTCGAGACAGGTGCCGTTGTACTGACAGGGCGAGTTCTCGCACTCATTCACGTCCACCTCGCAGTTTTTGCCGGTATAGCCAGGATAACACTGGCACTTGTAGTTCTTGATGTCATCCACGCAGAGTGCGCCGTTCACGCAGGGCTGTGATAAGCAGTCGTCGATATTTTTGTCGCATCGCAGCCCCTTAAAATCCAAATAATAGACGTTTAAATATAGATGTTGATAGCTGTAGCAATAATTTTAATTATCGTAACATGACTATATCAGTTAGCAAAGAAAATTTTCTAATTAAGTAGAGATTTACAATCTCTCCAATTGCATTTGGCACACAGTTTGTGTCTTTTTTCAAATGAGAGCGTGAATAACCAGAGTCTCGGAGAATAATAAATTAAATATCCATTTATTTGTGTGTTCGCTGATATCAGTAATCGAGAGGAAAGAGTATACCTCAAAACCGGTGTCGCTGCAATCACAGGTGAAATCATTGACACCATCGATACACTTTCCCATATTCATGCATGGTGCAGACTCGCAGTCGTCGATGTTGATCTCGCAATTGGCGCCGCGGTAGCCGGGTGGACACACGCACGTGTACGCGGCTACGCCGTTCACGCATCTCGCACCGTTCACGCAGGGATTGCTCTCGCACTCGTTCACGTCGACCTCGCAGGTCTTACCGGTGTAGCCGGCTGGGCAAGCGCACTCGAACATATTGATACGGTCGAAGCACGTGCCATTGTTCTTGCACGGTCCACAGAGACATTCGTTGATGTTAATGTCGCAATGGTCCCCGGAAAAGCCGGGTCGGCAGTAGCATTCGTAACCGGTCCCGTTGTTGACACAAATGCCGTTGATACACGGATTGCTGTGCGGCTCGCACTCTTTTATGTGGAGGTCGCAATATTGACCTGCAAATTGTGGAATTGTGCGCGATGGATCGCAATTAAATCGGACTAGAGAGGAAGAAGAAGAGAGAGAGATAATGAGAGCTTTACGCTATATTATATATAATATGAATCTATAAATATTATACGTTATAATTTTCAACCATGGACAATGGATATGGGAGATATTCGATTCCCCAGGTATGAGAAAACTTGCCTTGGAAGCCGGACTTGCACTTGCACTCAAAACCGCGCTCACCGAGGTCGATGCATGTGCCGTTGTTATTGCAAGGTTTCGCGGCGCACTGGTCCACGATGAAGGTGCAGTTGGGTTCTGCGTAACCCTCCCGACATTTGCACTCATAACCGGCGACGTCATCGACGCACACTTTATCATCGGGACACACTACACCTACGCAGTCGTCAATGTTCACGTCGCACACCTGGAATCGGAATTCATATATTGTATGTTTCGCGATCAACATGCGTTATTACTTAACTATACCTTGCCCTCGAATCCGTGTGGGCACTCGCAAATAAATTCTCTTCTCGATCTCGGTATCAGTGTGCAACTGCCGTTGTTCTGGCAAGGATTCACAGCACACGGGTCGTACTCCCGTTCGCAGTTATCGCCCATGAAATCTCTGGTGCAGTTGCAGGTGTAGCCGTTGACGCGATCGATGCAGGTACCGCCGTTTTTGCACGGCTGCGATAAACACTCGTCCACGTTGATCTGGCAGTTCTTTCCTGTGGAAATATCGCTTTCAGAAGGCGGCCTCTAAATCGAAGGTCGAAAGAGCGTATTCGACCTACAATCGATCTATAATTGAATGTAAACCAAAAAAGCTGCTAAACCAAAGAGCAACTAAAAAATAATGAGAAAAGAAGAGAAGAAGCAAGGTGTTTAATTGCTTCGGTAGGACCAAACGGTAATACGACTATATTAAACGTGAGAAATTTTGCGAAAAGAGACTCAAAGCGATCGACCAATTACACAAATCCCAGAAATTTCTATAAATTAACAAAACTATCGGAAAAAAGACATGCACAAATCCACAACACATAAAGATTCACACGGGAATGGCGATTGTGGCATGTACACAATAATGCCCAAAAATGGACACACAGGCATGAGAAATCGATTACCAGAGTATCCTGGCAGGCACTCGCAGTAATAGTTGTTGAGCTGATCAATGCAGATGCCGCCGTTTCGGCAGGGATCACTGGCGCACTCGTCCAAGTCGATGGAACACTCGAATCCTGTCCACCCTGGCTCGCAGGTGCAATAATAGCCGTCGGACTGCACCGGGTTAGCAACGGATAGAACAATGGACGATATCGCGATAGACGATTCGTTGGAATCGATTAACCCGTTCAAACTCACCTTTGATGATGTGTTCGATTGAATAACACGAATATTACGAATGAGTATATTACACAAACCATCGTCATTTTCGAATTACATACTTTAATCATCAGCCAAATTTCAGATTATCCGACAGACTTACTTGCAACAACTGCAAATTTATTTCTTTGTCCATTAAATTGCGGAAATGGCAAAATTTACATGTTATTGCAATGAAAATTGTCTCGCAGATTCTTCGCGGATGAATCTCCACTACATCTTTGCTGATTCCTATCCGCCGTGATACATCGTGATCATTTGGAAGATACAATAAGCGACACTGCGAACGGGTTAATCGGCCCGACGTGCGTGCAAAGCGATGCGTGCGGGTTCACACTCACATAATCGTGACACGCGGAAGCCTGTTTGCAGGGTAGATTGTCGCAAGTGACCGGCTCCTTGCATTGGGGCCCGGTCCAGAATCTAGGACACTGGCATACGATCCCGTACATGGTTTCCACACAGCTGCCGCCATTGTAGCACGCGCCGCACCAGTCCGAGGCCGGAGAAGAGCACGTGTTTCCTGATAAATGTACCATGCACGACACACGGACTCGCCGATAAATTAAGAAAGCGGGCGGATGTCGATGAGATTGGCATTGCGACAAGTTGACGAGAAATTTGCATTCAAAGATGTCATACGATTCAGGCAGCCAACACCAATAATCAAGCGGAGAGATTAAGTTCGCAGGCAAATGATTAACTTTGTTGAAAAAATATTAATTTTTAAGAACGTAGAAAGAAAAATCTTCACAAATAAAACGTCGCAATTCATTCCAATCGTACAAATTCAATCATTCTGCCATGGAACACGATTGAGATAAATTGAAATATATAAATAGCGACTTCTTTTTACATATTATTCTTCCATTTTTCATTTTTATTTCGTCGTTTGCTTTTGCCTAACACGAAATCGCATTAGTCCCGCTCTAAATCGATGAATTTTTTCAACAAAATTAATATCAATCAACATCCGATAGAGTGTTAGCGTAGCAATTAATTCAAATCTCTGATAAATCTTTAATTAATTTCCAACGAAAGAGTCGGTCGAGCCAAATCTTGTAATTAATCGCGATTCCATACCAATCTACTCCCAACTAGGCAATTTACATGAATTTATACATAGACACACATTTATGCAATACTAATTTAATCTAATCTAACGTAACTCAACAGTGACATTTATCCAAATGAATCCGTTTGGTAGATTGCATGCATGTATGGGGAGATCCTCCTCGAGTCGCGTTGACTCTAAGCCTGACACGTTCTCCTCACCTCTCCATTCCGGTGGACAGGTACAATTGAAGCCGTCCCTGCCGCTGGAGCAGGTGCCACCGTTGACGCAGGGATTACTGGCACAGTAATTAACCGTGCAGTTGGGCGGATTGCCCATGAATCCGGGATTGCAAACGCATTGGGCCCCATGGGAGTCCTCGACGCAAATGCTGTTGGCCGGACAAGCCGCGTTCTCGCACAGACCACGTAATTCACAATGGCGGCCTGTGAAGCCCGGCAAACATTTGCAGTGATAGGTGCCAACGTCGTCGATACACTCGCCGTCGTTGTCGCATGGCCCGGACAGGCACTCGTTCAAATTAAGCTCGCAGTTTTGTCCCTCAAAGCCCGTTGGACAGTGGCAGATGTAAGTGCCGTAATAATCGTAACACACTCCGTTGTTTAGGCACGGGTTCGCCAAGCATTCATCGACGTCCACGTCGCAATTGGTACCTTCGTAACTAAACGGGATAAAGAGGAAAGTCATCTTTGTTTGATTGAAAAGTTTAGCGATCCCTCGGTGATATTGATAACAACATTAAGTTAATTTTAGTATGTTGATATATATGCGCTAGTACATATGTGACTTACATACCCGGTTCTATCGCATACGCAAGTATAATTATTGATCGCGTCGTTGCAGATGCCGCCATTCCTGCACGGATTCGGGACGCATTCGTTGATGTTGGTCTCGCAATTCTTGCTAGTCCAGCCAGGCTGACATTCGCATCGATATTCAGTTTCGGTGAGTGCTAGACAAATGCCGTTGTTTTTGCAGGGGTTTTGTTCGCACAATCGTACTCCCAGTTGAGATTCGCAACGGCTGCCTGTGAACCCCGGCTTACAGGCACAGCTAAAGTCGCCCCGGGAATCTTCAATGCAGGTACCGCCGTTGCGGCAGGGTGTATTTTCGCAGGGTGGACCTAAGAAACATAAGAGAAAGAGGTATACTATCGCATACGTTTCTCATTAAAGGTTATGAATTAAGAGCGATGTGATGCAAAGTAAAGCGACGTTAATTAATTAGTTGCGTGCGATGGCAAGTAAAGACTCGCGTTCCTTTAATGATTAATAGTAGCTCAATTAATCGATTATTGATAAAAAATATTAATCGATTATTAACAAAGAAAGATTAAACTATTTGTTAATGCAAATGTGTATCTGTTGTGAAAATCATAATCTCCGGCGTTTATACACGTCTTAAGCATGCAATATTTACTTTATGTTTATTTGTATTCGCGAAGCCTTTAAAACATCAATTTAAAACGATTTTTATTGGTAAAGGAGTTAAAAGGAATGTCAGTAAGAGAGAAAAATCTACGACAAAAAATATGACGAGAAATCGTCTTATGCCGGGCGAACCTAACTTTGAAGCGTATTACTTTCGCATGTGTAACAAAGAAAATTATTTCTGCAAGACTACAGGATATTTAAAAAAAAAAGATAAATGTGCGCAAGCACAGCATGCGAGAAGCAGTAGTGAGAGACGATGCAGATTTCATACCCCATTAATTTTAACGAAGATTATATAACAAAGTTAAATTTTATATATGTATATATGTGTATAAATAAATTTTAGATCAAAGTGTAGATTTTCAGTCTTTGATTTCTTATCTATTTGATATCTTCCGATAAATGAAGCTTTATCGTACACATTTTTTGTATTACCGTATATATAAATTTGATTAGATGTATGATCGTACACATCGAATGTGTGTGCATGTGCACGTACTATTCTGTGATTATTTCTTCGGTGCGTTAGTTGTACAAGTTATCTTACGCTATAACTAAAGCCTCCTTTCATACTTTACTTCTACGCTTGAAAATTTAGATTTTCATTACAACTATAACGTATAACTCTGACATAAAGGTTTGTAAAATGATAGTTTCAAATACGATACGTTCTAATCTACACATTCAATGTTTAATTCACTCTTTCTGACTGACATTTCAGTTTTAGTTTGGCAAGAACTCAAAGTTTCTCTACGGTTGGGTGATGTTCTCTCATTGCGGAACGGCACATCGCGCGTGTCGCAATATTTCCGTTTAACGCGCGCGTAGAGTATGAATCCGCTCGTCCCGTATTCACCGTAAAGCCCGTGTTCGATATGCGTGGTCTACCATTGTCGATTTGGCAGTTGTTGCCGGAGTACCGGGCGAAACAGTGACACTCGTAGCGATCCTGGCGCGAAACGCATTTACCATGCATCATGCATGGTTCATGGTGGCAAAAATCCATAGTGGAGGCCGTAACAGCTGACCCCGTGCCACCAGCAAGGCCGTTTGTGCCACCTGAAAATTTTTTATTAGATGTCTGCGTTTGCGTCTCTCTTTCTCTCTCTCTCTGTGTTTCTTTTCTCTGTAAATGCATATATGCATACTATATGCGGTTTAGGAGCAAAGACATGTGCGTTTCATTGGAAAATAAACAAAATAGAAACTGTATTAACGATTCTACTTTGCACTCGCAATCTAATACTGCAAAGAAAAAGGAAATCTATAAGATTTGTTATCCAGAAATTCTCGACTTTGCATAAAGGACTCGAAAGGAGGTTCGGAAAATTCGTCTATGATAATGCTCAGTCTGTTGTGTCTGAGATATCGCGATTTATTTCACCGCAACCTTATTATTCCGTGTTCTAATCAACTCAAGCTCGTCTATGAACGTTCTACTTGTTCGTAGTGACTGCGATATCGATCTAGCATACCGGTACACAATAATCCGACAATTACTAATGTCATAAAAAGTACTCTACAATAAATTAGTCAGCAAAATATAAAACTATAGCCACATTGAATAAAAATTAAAACGATCGTGATTCTTACATCCTTTGGTGTCTGATGAACAAAGTCCAAAAACAACGCCGTTATTGATGCTGTCGTTGAAGAGAATACTAGGTCCTTGCAGGATGCAACCTTTGAACCCTTCACCAATTATGAGAGAACTATTTACGTCGTAATCAGGAAGTGTCAGAATGGCGGAGTTATAAGTCGCATTTGCAACTACCTAAACAGAACGTTTTCTATGTGTATATTCGCGTGTCTGGTAAAAAATCGCAACAACTATTCATATGTTTCAATACATCACTTACCTGCGTGTGTCCCGCAGCATTTAACGTAAGATTGCCTAGCCTGAAGAATAGGTTAACGTTATGCCAGGCGTTATCCAACAACCTGGCGCTCAATCTAGCTCTGTACTTCTGTTGATCGACAACGGCCACGAAGAGGAGTCCGTCGGGTGTCACCTCGAGACTGATCGAATTGTTATCGTTGTACCTCTGCAGAAACAGTCTACCAGGATCGCATGTACGGAAGCTAAGACCGCTGTGTCGATGCACGGACACGAACGAGCTTAGTTTGAGAAACGCGGACCCATTGAAGTATGCCTCGCGATGGTGCTCTTCATAATTCTTGTACCTGTAGTCCTGCGGTGCACCTTGCGCGACCGCCAACAGGGTGGTCAAAACTGCAATGGCAAAAGTACTTTTACTTTTCTCTCATAACAATGTACGAAGAGAAAACTAATTTTGTCCTTTCGCGAATCGAGATGCATCCGTAAAATCTCGACTATCGTTTCTGCGATTTTCCGACGCATTAAAAAACGTATTAAATAAAATGTAGCAACATTTTCTTTTAAATTGGTCGATGAGCGGCAAGTCACTTTCTGGTATGGACTTGGCTCTTGATTCCAAGGCTACGATGTGTATGTGTATATATATATACATAGAAAGAAAGAATTTATTACTGGGCATATATATATATATATATATATATATATATATATATATACGCAGAGTTACATAAGGCCTCTCTCCGCGCGCGAGCGCGCCATTATTATCTCCAAGGATAAACTTCTAAGATTTCATAGCAACGCAAACACTTACACGTGAGAAAGGACTCGTAGTTGTATTCATTCACGGCGACCAAGTATCGCCAAGTATCTGGCAAGTACATAAAGCCTTAGCGCAATCTGGGTTCCTCGCTGTTTTGCTCTACATTATAGAAGCTTAATTATCAGAATGCTTTCTCTAGTCTCTCGGCACCACAAACAATTGCGTAAATAACCAAATCGTCTCACATCAGTCTCGACGATCTCGACGATTCTTATGAATCTCGGATTGTGCAAAAATTCCACGGGTGTTTGTCTCTGCACAAAAGATGCAAAGAGAAAATCCCGTTTCGTCAAATCCTCCGCGCCGCGTAAATATGATCTCTCTCATCTTGAGAGAACGACAGCTCACTCGTCGCGCTCGCAAGTACAAGTGCCTTACACGGCGGCCGTGCTGTGTAGATGGGAGTCATGCATTATTTATTGGTCTCCATCGATCCAACCGTGAGTACAGTGCACTCGGTCGCGGACCAATCCAAGACTTTTCCTCGATAGAATCGAGAATTCAAAAGTGTGTGGAGAACACACGTGAAAGCGAATATTTGTCAAGCCGAGAGAGTAGTATGACATTAAGTCTTCCGGATTTTCAGGTCACGAATAAATTCATGAGCAACTACAAAAATCTTGAGATCTACCTGTGCGTCTTGAGAAGAGCAAGCTTCTTTGCCGGGAGACACGGTGAACCCGAATTCCATTCTCTCATTCTTGACGAATGAGAGAAAGAGCCGCTTCCGGTGCTTCTCGGGTAGATCACCATTTATGTATCGTATAGATATTTAGCGTGGTCTAGCGTGGCTTTTAGTGTCTCGTACGATCAATCTCGTATGCGAGACACGTCTAAGTTCCTCGGAACGTGTCGCGTGCGCGCTTACCGCGGAAAAACACGATACGAATTCCAATAGATATTAACCATCAAAACACAGAGAGACTGAGAGAGACAAGGTAACCGCCGAAAGAGGAATGTGAAATAAATATGAGTAAACACAGTCAGAAATGTGCCCCGAATAAAATAAAAAAAATAATTTATACGACAGGGGGAACTACACGGAGAAAAATAATTTGCTGGCTCAGCAAATTTTTTGCTGGTCTAGCAAAATCTTTTCGTTATTATATAGACAGTAAAAAGACTTGCTAAGAGTATTAATCATTATTTGTTGGATATAATTTGCTGAATCTACAAATTATTTTGCTATAAGAATGATAGATTTATATAAGCAGTTGCAGTTTTGCTTCGATAGCAAATAAATTTGCTAAGGATACATTATTTTGCATCAATAGTAAATTAACGTGATTCTTAGGACAAATATACTCAACAAATTTTTCCTATCCTGGCAACGAAACTACTTCTGCTCTGATAACGAATAATTTGTAAAATTAGTTAACGTCAACAAAATTTTTTTGATATCACTATGAATATGCAGTAGCAACGACGATTTTGCTAAAAGAGCAAAATTATTTTTCTCCGTGTATATATGTAAGGAAGCTCGATTGGTCGTCGACGAGACGACTCTCAAGACAAGCGCATATACCGCATAACTGCATTTTTACTAGTTAGAAGTAAAATGGTTAATCCGTTAGTCTCGTTACACTATTTTTTGCTTGATGCGAGATCTCGGGTTGAGGACACGTTAAACGGTAGAAAGTCACGGGAATTGTTTCGACGACCTTTCGACGACGTCTCGGCGTTAGTTCCGAGTCGCTGCGGGGAACCGAAAATGCGCGCGAACCCTCGATTGCGATCGCAATAACGACTGCAATGACGAGTCGCGAACTGTTGCAATCTATTCGCAGGACGATTTCGCGAGTCGCCGTTAGAAAGCATAACGGCTTGATACATGTTTTATTCGTAAAGGTACCGCGCATTCTCGCGGGACATCTGCGAGACATCCACGTCCGTAACTGGTTCTGAGAAAGTATGCCGTGTATTTTAAGGACACTAAGAAAAATGTGGTGAAAATACGATCTGCATGTTGGAGACAATTTGCCGCCAAAATAAATTCCTTCCGCTCGGCTCTTTAGCGCTCAATCAGCTGATATCACTTTGTCCAGTAACTAGCCAACAAATCAGTAGAGCGAGCACAATTTCTCGTATCCCACATACCGTGTCATTCTCAAGATGTTTCGCAATTACGTGATGGACATGGCAAATACGTAATGGACATTTTTGCAAAATAATACAAAAATCGGTATGACTGTGTCGGTGCGTCTTTTTTCTCAAAATTTGTTGAAACTTGCACAAGTATTTGAGATGATTTTTAAATGCGACGTGATTTAGATACAAGTGATTGTTGCATGCGAGGATGCAATGCGTTTCGATCGAAGGTATTTTTCACCAAGAGGAGATGTGTTCTCCATGGTACAATACGCAGTTCACTTTCTCCTCCGAATAAATGGTTTGTCTTGTCTCTTCCTTGCTCCTTCAATTAGAACATGCAAAGCGAATAGTTCTCAATTGTAATTTACCGCGCGCAACAGCGGCGATTGGAGAAAATAAAGAGTTTAAACTTCCAATGTAATGCGCTTTGCAAATTTTCATTCGAGATAATTGGACGAATAACTAATCCGGAACTCGAGGAACAAGATGTGCCGAGCTCGAGAAGCCGCGTTCCTTACGCGATGCAACAAAGAGAATTATGCTTGACTCGACGAAGGCGTGGCAGCAGCCATGCGTTGAGTCATGTAACTAAACTCTCGTAGGTGAATAGAGTACAAGAGCCTGGAAAAGACTGAAAATCAGCTGCGCAAAGTTGATGACGTGCAGCCTAGACGACAACGATGAATCAAAGATTAACAGAATATTTATAGAGCTTTAGAGAGCAAAATATATCCCAATTTATCTCCAACATCATTCTTTCAAGAAAAAATCTTTCTCTCTATTTCTCTCTCTCTCTCTCTTGGATCCCGAAAAAAGTCCTTTTAATTCAATCTGAAGTGAATAAATCGAGTTTTGGAGAGAAAAGAGGAGAGAGGGACAAATGCAGAGTTTAACTAGGACAAAAGTATCGGGCGCGTGACTGGCCGAGTTGGTTAGTTGCAGTGCTTTCGGTTCACTGACACGTGGGAATTCAACGATCACGCTATGCATTGCGTCTATAAACTACGCGACGCACGCGCGTAATAAGGAGTTTCTTTGTCTATTGCGAAATGTGGTCATTGAGTTAGCATAGCGAGACTATTCCCAGGTGACAGAAATAGTTTCCCATTTATGTTACAAGCGCCTTCTGTCTCGACTTGTCGCAAATAATGTCACAACTCTTGTACTTCTATCTACTGCTGCTATTGCTTGTACAATAATTCTCATCGAGTCGCTACTTATCTTATAATCATTTGAAAATTGGCGCATCCCGCGATTGCCTTCCCGTTGAATTATGGAGTTGTCTTCAATCGTGCGACGTAAGTGTGACGCGACTAGAATTTTCAAAGTCGATCACTAGGATTCCAGTCAAATGAGGGAAAATTAATAATTTTATACCCACTAACGAGATTACAACAGCGAATCCTTGGCAGGATGACATCGTTGCGTCGATAACAATCTCGATGATCTTATCGTAAAATGGGAAAAACAGACATGAGGCTTTATGAAGCATCCATTCACATGCTGATTTTCCTAATATTTCGTTAGACTCTCTTTATATTTAATTAAATTTCATTTTATCAAATATTCCAAAAACCTTTTTGACCGTTTTCATATAAGTTTACGCAAAGATTATTTATATTTTTCCATTATTGTCTAATAATAAATTGTTAATTATACAACAAAATTTTTCGTTTCACAACTTTTCCGTTGCTCAAAACGTTCGTATGTTCGTTCAATCGAGAATGTTGGAATGCGAGAAAGAAAGAAAACTGTTAAACGATTCGTAGGAGTGCAATTTTGCAAGAGAAGAAACGCTCAGGCAACTATACATTGTCGTTCCGAACACCCGGCGACCTCCTCACTAAGTCGACAATGGCTGCTTTTCTCGAGCATCAAGATTTTCATTCAGAAAATCGTGTTTCTCTCAAAGGCAGAAGGTAGACACTCAGCAAAAGTAGAATACGATGGTCAGTACTGATGCGTGCGGGACAAAAGACTCCGGAGGAATAAGTTACAGGCTAGCTGGCTAGCTTGGCTGGCCTCCCTCCGAAGCTTCCCTTCTCCGAAGGCTTCCGCTTTTACACGCTTCTTTCCGGCCGCGTAAAAGCGCGCATTGACCGCACAATCTTTCGTAACGGTATAAACTTTTACCGAGTTGGAGTCAACGAGTGTGAATCTTCGCGAAAGCGTTCGCTGACTCAATCGCTACCACGTCACAAAATTCTGAATCTGTGAAACCCGCCCAAACGCTGAGGAAAACGTGAAAGATGCTTCAGCAGCAGGGTTGACGACGAACTGCTTCGAATCGTATAGTCTAATAATTCCTGTACACTTTGCTTATAATCATAGCTGAGTACCTTTCTCGAATAAAAATACACAAGTTTAGATAAGTGACGACATGTGTAAAAATACCAAATATCACGAGTATCATATCAAATTTGCGGATTATATAGCGAGAGACTCGTTATAAAACGAAGCAACGAATTTCGAATGCTCGAGG